TTAACACCGCATAACCCAATTTGAAATTGCAAAAGACCATCTAATTGCTCAACACAAACTAATTACTTCTCCATCATTAGATTCCCGTTTATGAATTCCAATTCGGCGGCGACCTAAAAGAACATGTCATGCGAAGGAGGCACGATGACTGGATCAACGCAACACACATCTTGAAAGCCGCAGGCTTCGATAAACCCGCCCGAACGAGAATTCTTGAAAGAGACGTGCAGAAGGATGTTCACGAAAAGATTCAGGGTGGCTACGGCAAATATCAGGGAACATGGATCCCCCTGGAAGCTGGCGAGGCCCTCGCTCAGCGGCACAGCGTCTATGACCGAATACGGCCCATCTTCGAGTTCGTTCCAGGAAACGAGAGCCCCCCTCCCGCTCCTAGGCATGCCAGCAAGCCTAAAGCACCAAAGTCCCGTCCTCCGCTTCCCAAATGGAATTCGGGTAGGTCAAAGGCCGCCGGCATGGCTCCTAGCGTCACTAACGCAGCGGCAGCCGCCATGCCAGTTGTCGAAGAGTACGAGAACAGTGAGAGCGTCATGGCGGGCGTGGAAGACGACACGCCGGACAACCTCACCGTGGCTTCGGCCTCGTACGTTGCCGATGATGATCGCTACGACATGGGCCACATGTCCACTGGCCACCGAAAGAGAAAGAGAGAAGAGCAGTTACAGGATCTCACAGAGCAGCAGCATGCCGTGTATGGCGATGAGCTTCTGGACTATTTCCTCCTTTCTAGAAATGAGCAGCCAGCAGTCAAGCCCGATCCGCCGCCAAACTTCCAGCCCAACTGGCTTATTGATGCCGAGAACCACACGGCCCTGCACTGGGCTTCCGCTATGGGCGACGTGGACGTGATCAAGCAGCTCAAGAGATTCAATGCAGACGTTGCCGTCCGCAACATTCGCGGCGAGACACCATTTATGCGATCAGTCAACTTCACAAACTGCTACGACAAGCAGACGTTCCCCTCCGTCATGAAGGAGCTCTTTGAGACAGTGGATGTTAGGGACAGCCAGGGATGCACCGTCATCCACCATGCAGCCATCATGAAGAACGGCCGCGTCTACAGCCCGTCGTGCTCAAGATACTACCTGGACAACATACTGAATAAGCTGCAGGAGGCGCTGGAGCCGAGTGCCTTCCAGCGGCTCATTGACGTGCAGGACACTGACGGAAACACCGCGCTGCACCTCGCTGCCCTGCGCAACGCTAGGAAATGCATTCGTGCGCTGCTGGGCCGCAATGCCTCGACGGACATTCCCAACAACGACGGGGTCCGCGCAGAAGACCTCATCATGGAGCTCAATGCTCAAAAGAAGGACCGTGGGCCACAGCGGTCATCTTCTCCCTTTGCGCCGGATTCCCAGCGGCGCGCCACATTTAGGGACGCCTTCTCGGGTGCGGGCGACAAGGCGCGGAAGCCCCCTTTGTCCTTCCAATCAGCGGCGGCCACGACGGTTCAGTCGCGCATCTCCCCGCTCATTATGGAAAAGTTTCAGCTGCTCGCGAAAAGCTATGACGAGGAGTGGCACGAAAAGGACGTGGCAGAGGCCGAGGCCCGGCGCATCTTGACAAACACCCAGGCCGAGCTGAACGCCGTGCGGCAGCAAATCACGGAGCTCGAAGCTCAGCTCGAACCAGACGACGTGGCTGCCAAGGTCATGAGCGAGGCTAACCTCGTCAGGCACAACGTGCTGTCCCTAATTACCCACCAAAACAGGTTGCATATCCACCAGACGGTGGAAAACGAAATGAGCAAGCTGAACGGCGACGTTGGCAGCGGCAGCAGCAGCAGTAATCCCAACAACAACCCAAGCAGCATGCAGGACGACTCTTACGAGGAACGGCTTACTCTCGCGCGACAGCTCAGCCAGATGCTTATGGAGCAGCGGCAGGCAGAGACGGAATACGTCGACGCCCTAAGCATGGTGGGTGTCGGCGACAAGATTGAAAAGTACCGCCGCCTGCTGAAGCGCTGCCTCGATTCCAAAGACGGCGAGGTCCTGGACGCGAATCTCGACAGCCTGATTGACATGATGGAGGAGGAGCGCGAAGTACATGATATGGACGGGTCGACAACAGCGGGGGGTGAGCCGATGGATTTTGCAGTTATGTGATGATTTATTTTTATTATTTTTTCTCCTCCCATGTTTCCTTTTTCATTTTTTTCTTCACACCTCCAAGGAGAGTGTGTGTCTGAGAGCCAAAAAGATCAAGATGGATGGCAAGACGATGACGAAATGCCAAAAAAGGAGATGCGCGAGGGAGAGTAAAGAGAAAGAAGAAGATGCCGCGCTTGAATCGCAAAAGTTCCACCCTCTCTTCCTCTTTTCCTCTCCCAAGGACATCCCTGGAAATCCTGTCCCTTTTTTTAGAGGTCATCAAGCTACCCCGGCTTACTCTCCGTCTCTCTTTTTTCTTGAGTAGCCGAGGGACATCAGATAATGTGCTTTTACCACGTCAGGGGTGGTGGGCAGCTTACTGCCCAACTACTAGCGGTAGTGAGAGCATCTATGAAGGACGTCGTTTTTTTATAGCGGTTTACGTGGTGGCTACCTTACCTAGGGCATCTTCTTGTAAGAGCAAGTATATAGCAGTTGTCGAGCGGAGCGCATATAGCACTAAAGGAACGACTCGTGGGGGCGGATCCGGCGCCGGTGGTTAACAGTTTTTTACATAGTCTTTGGCTTTTCTTCCCTACCTATCTTCAGATATCTTGCCGGGGCGCTAGTATATCTTACTGAATCGACTGGCTTTATCAAGCACGCCAATAGAATTTTGTGACCAGCGTTTTGCAACTGATTCATGATGGCGCTGTGACGATCAGAAAAAAAAAAGCAACACGTAAAACAGGCCGCGGCCCTCGGTCCGGCATATTCGGAGGTGGGAGTTCTGTGGAGCCCGAGTGCGCCGGGTACAGAGTCACGGCATCTCATGCAACCTTGATGGCCCTCCATGGGTATAAGATGATCATGACAAGCGTTTCGCCTTTCGTATATCGTATGTCGTATGCGCGGCGCGATGAATAGGACCTGACACGAAAAAAAAAAACGACGTCTTTCCAGATTTGCGCGCGGCCTAGGCTTGACTTGGGAAACGGGTGGCCACCTCGGGCCCGACTTGGCCCAGCCTTCTCCGGAGACGGTGGCCGGGCAGCTCGGACCGCATCCAACCAAATGGCCAGGCGGCCAGATGCCAAGCATTTCTCCTCGCGTGAGATTATGAGGCGACAAGAGCAATGACATTCCGTTCCGCAACGAGAGCGATAGGCTCCGCAACATGGGTGAAATTTCTAAACACCTAGGACTCTTCACCACCATCGTCCCAACCTCTTCAAGATGAAGGAGACCAATGAATGATGGAAATAGCAAGCTCCGAGTCAAACATCAAAGGCCGACGACACAGGCCCGGTCATGGGTCTGCCGGAGTTGGTGGGACTGGGTATTACCGCTTCAGGGAGGAGCTAGCCGGCGACCGGCTCAGGCGGCTTGCATAGTATGGGCGTCAGGTGAGCAGCTGAGTCAGGGCGCCTGTATAAATACACCGTAAGCTGGCGGAGATGACTGGTCGAGCATTAGACGCCATGATGGCTCTCCGTATAAGTCGCTTAGGAACGAGGCCAATTGCTGCTCCTCTGGATGCCATCTCGACTCACTGGCGTCATAGGGACAACTAGCGAGTCATGTCAGGTACAGCAGATAAACGTCTGAGCTTGGCCATACCTTATGTAACTCTGCCGTGCCTTGTTGCTGCGGAACATGATCATCCCGCATCCAATCGCTTTGTCATGGCGAATCGGTGTAATTACATTCTCAGCTCCTGCGGCGGCGCCCACCTCACGACTGGCTCAGGTAGGATGGCTGCCGTTTTTGTATATCTGATAAAGATTCTCGGACCCTATTGTGCAGAGCGCATTGGCTTGTGAAAGTCCAATGACCGGGCCAACATGCAGTCTAATGCGGTGAAACACAAGTCACGAGGCCGTGTCTAGGACTTGCTATGCCGGCACTTGTGAGGGGAGAAAGGGTAGCGTATCCGTGAAACAATGCCAGGGAGTCGACAGAATAAGAGACATCTTGACCACGTAGTAGTCAGGCAGAGAGACAAAACTATCGCAGCTGAACCATCGATAGATGCCCGATAGCCTGCAGATGGCTCCACCAACATTTCGGACAGAAACGCTCAGCCGGACCAATATCAGCAGCAATGAAACTGAGACCCCCCACACAAGTGCGTAGCATGACTTCTGCAGCCATCTAGACGAACTCTCACCGTCAAAGTGGCAAAGAGCAGAGGCACGATATGTTGATCGCTTAGAGGCGGATGCTTGTCGACCTGAAAATAGCTTTGGATATCAAGTAATGGCCCTCTGCCCCACGTAAACAACGAGGCAAGCCGACGTGGCATCCAGCAATGGAGACTCGATATTACTAGTGGTTCACCTGCGGTTGCACAAACGCGGTGGAGGTCATCATGTGGTAGAGTTTTGAGGGCTTGGGGGCGAATTGAGCGTGGCATACATGCTTGACTGGCGCCGAGTACGGGGTAATATCAATTACTCTTCTCCAATAGAGCCATGTATCAGCGGAGTGTAAGGGTAGGAGTAGGAGCAACAAGTCAAGGTGGGATCCGCCAAACTATGCAGGTAGCTCGTACCAAGCTTAACTGTGCGTTGAGACCCGGACGGTGAGGAGGTTTTCCCGTCTGCAAGTCGTGATTTGCTGCGACGCCCATGCTAGCGCTGGCAACGAATGTGGCACCACGAGATAGCGCCTGCAAAATCGACAAATGTCATCCAGAGACGCCCAGATTCAGCAGCTAGGCGGTAAAGCCCTGGAGCGTGCCAATTTAAACCATGAAGAGGAAGAGGTTAATAACATGCTGACGAGCGGGGGAGGGGTACCCCAATCGCTGTAAGGCTGACGGAAACACCCCAAACGGAGGAGTCGGCGTTTTGTACAGGCAAGACAAGTCGACGTCTTGCTGGGAACATGGCAGAACTGGGCACACCCGCTTTCGCTGCTGATGGCACGGCGGCCCAAGCTGACTTGCTGACACAGCATACTGGCATGATGCATCAGGGAGCAGAAGCAGGGCAAAAGAGTCCCTAGCTCAGACAACGGAGCTTTTCCCACGGATGCACGGTCACGATCACGGTCAGCCGTGGTGGGGAGGAGCAAGAGGAGAGCTAGGGCAAGAATGCACTAAGTGAGAGTCGGATTGAAGCTGATCCGTCGAGAGTTGTGTCACACACTGCCCAAATGAAGATAGCTTGCTGATGCCCGATCCATGCGGTGCATTGCTAGACTACTGTACGAGTAAGTATCCGCAGTATCGAAGGAAAGCAGCCCGTCGCTGCGTCGTGGGCGCAATCTGTACAGGTACGAGTACATATACTGCAGGTGTCTTAGAGCAACACTGGCGTGGTGGTGCTAGCATGCTGGCGTGCATACTCTGAACCCTTTCGAGACAAGCAAATACACATGCATACTTGGAGTGTGATGCTAGTGTGCGTCAAAATGGAGGTCTGGCTGCAGAGCCGCAGCGGTCAGGATGCCAGGGTTCGTGCCACGGCCAGCTGAAAACGAAATGACGAGTGGAAGCGGTGTCTGGCTGTCTGTCTGTCTGGGGGCCTGGTGGTGCGTCTGGTCTGGGCCGGAGAAATCTATCGCCCCACGAGTGACGATTGCTTGGGCCAACCGCAGCGCTGGACAGCGGACATTCGGGCTAGCAGAGTGCGTAGCGTAGCGTCGATGCCTCAATAGTCGGGATTTCAGTTGAGATCGATCGGAACGCCGACGATGCGCTTGTGCAAGTTGCTTCGCCGAGCGCGTGAGGCTGAAGAGAATTTTGGCCACTGTGGAAAAGTTTGATCAACTATTTTGTTGCTAGCAAGGGAGAAGGAGATGAAGAAGAAGAAAAAATCTTCAAGTCGACGAAAGGAAGGCGAGAGGCGAGGAGAGGAGGAGCAGGCATCAGCTGTCATGGGCTCGAAAGTGGAAAGTGCGCCCTCGTCTATTAGTAGTACACTACTGTACGTTTCTGGAAGCAAGTGCTGAGACGCGAGTAACTGTAACTGTACTTGTACCTATACCTGTATTCCGTACTCTACACATTCCTCAACCAGCTCTCGTCTCATCTCGTCTCATCTCGTTATCGTAGCGATGCATGAGGAGTCATAAATCATTCCCGGGCCAGATACAGCAAAGCCCTGTAAAACATTACGAAGCAGAGGTGATTACGAGTACTCCGTACCTAGTAGTACTGTCCAGTACTACCAATACGAGTACAATACATACCCGACTATTATACGCTCGAAATGCCTGGGGTCAGTTTTGGGGCCCTGTCTGGAGGAGCCCATCTCGACACGGCCATTTTCAATACCGGGACGGGATGGACTCGCACAGCAGTGGAGATCGGCAGAAGCTCGACGGCTCAGCGTTCTAGAAGCTCGCGTCTTGCAGGCCGGTCAGCTGGGCAGGTATCAAGAGCTGCTTGTACCGCAACCGCCACCGCTACGGCTACAGCTACCGCGCAGGTACCGCCTCGAATGAATGGCCGCCTATGGCAAGCATGGGATTCGCTACCGACTTTCTGGATTTGGAGAGCCAGCCACGCCTCTTTGGATGGCTTGGACAGCTCAACTAATGGTAGCCATGATATTAGTTGGCTTGCCTAATTCATCCTCGGCGAATGCCTCTTGTTTTGTGTCTGCTCGGATTCTCGGAATACTTTGGGCATGGTACGGTTCGGCACGGTACACCTACCTTAGACATGCAGAGCACCGTGGCCATAGCGTCATTGTGTCCCAGACGGCATGCATCACGAGCGAGAATCCACCGACTGAGAGAATTAATTAATCTGACAGACGCGGGAGTGGTCGCATGCGTGCAGTCTGCTACGAGTATGCTATCTATCACATTGGCAGGGCAGGACGGCCATGTTCCGGCCCTCAGGGTTTGTTTGTATGCTGCTAACTGCATGCACGAAGCATGTTGCGAGGTGCGTGTGAGTGCGATGATGCATGCTTGCCGGAGAGAGGAGAGAGGAGAGAGAGAAGGGCTCGGGATACTGGAAACGGGGGGGCAAGCAACAAGGAACATGAACCTGGATAAATGTACGAGATACCGCATCTTGCCGAGAAGAGAGAAGCGTACGAAGGGCGATGCGATGCTTCTTCCTGCGCTACTGTAGCCCTCGTCTTGTTGTCACCTCTCCGTGGCTCCTCCTGCTCCATCCTTCCTCATGGTCATGATGCCCTCCCCTGCTTGCATCTCGCAGTAATATCGGGGCTGCTGCATCTTGCGGTCCCTGTGACTCGATGCTGCTTTTCTTGCCGGCAGAGCATTGGCTACGCAATTAAACGGCCACACCACTTGCGCACCATGTCCCGCGCGATATCCCGCACCCACCAGGTTTTTTCAGCTGCCTTGGGCCATGCAAGTGACGCACTTTTAACTCTATTTGCCAACCAATTCAATGCGCAAACCGCACCGGTTCCTGGCGCACTTTGGCACCCGCCCGCTGGGATCCGGCCGGCTATGATGATGGTGATGGGTGGGCTCCAGAATATTTTGTTGTTTTCTCATTGACTTTTCCTGTTTACTTTGCTGTCCATTTGTTCGCCTCCTCCTGCACACTAGCTGCTGCATATCGCCAGTGGCAAGAGTCCCTGCACAGGAGCATCATCAAACGTCTGGGCCCCCTGGGATCGCCAAGTTAGGGCTGCGCCTTTCAGCTGGGCAGGTCTCGTGCCTGGCAAGTAGACGCATGTACATGTACTCCCTGTACACTCCCGTCCCGGGCGAGCCAGCGCCCGCCAAGTACTTGCCGCTACAAGCGCTGCATGCAAGCCTCAGCACAACGCTAACTTCAAGTTGGAATACCTCAAGCTACCACCAACTTGAACCCAGCAGACATGAACAGGCCTGGGCTGGCAAAAGTCAATGGCCCAGCTACATACTTACGGTGCCACCCGGTGCAATTTCTCAACGACTGCAACTATCGAACCTCTTCAGGCCCCGATGACGGGAGCCCAGCACGCCACCAGATGCGCCGTGGCCAGTGCGCGTACGCTTTCAGCAGGGTCTAGCTTGACCGGGTCAGCCACAGAAGCAGTTTTTGATGCGAGGACAAATCAGTCCGTCAGTCCGTCGCCGTAAGCAGACAATAGGTAAAAATCAAAGCACGATATACGAGCTGCCGTGTGGGTGATGATAGTCCAGAGTATACCGACCAAGATAGTACAAGGAGCCGCGGCTGGCGATACCTGTGCTGCCGCGGAGACTTGCTGCCAAGCCACGAGTCGCTCTGGGCCCTGCTGCCTGTATCATATCCAATCTGTACTATATCTCTTGCATAATGGAAACCGGGCAGGCTGGGAAACCATGGAAGCGCGATTGTACCTGCACTCGCTGGCTCACCCACTGCAAGGTACTCATACTATCCGTACTCGTACATGCTCCATGTACCTAAACTGAAGCAACTGCAGCGCATTGAAAGTCCTACACTGAGGGGGTGGTCGCACTCTGTCTCTTGCATGCCCGCCCCCTCATTTTTGCTTCTTCTGATCTTGTGCCCGAAACTGGCCCAGCTCTGGTTTCGAACGCAAATCCATCACCATGCCATGCCATGTGCTGACTTGAGACGAAACCCGGACAAAAAGGATGGTGTCGCTTCATATCCCTGGCCTGCCCGAATAGGCACAGCCAGAGACAGAGCGCCCTGCAGCAGCGAGTACATGCGAGTATTGCCCTTCTGTCTTTTCTTCGCTCTCGGGAAGCACAGAATCAAGTCTCTCCCTGCCCCGGATCGGCCACATGGCCAGCCTCTGACCAATCGTCTCCGTCAGCAGCGCCTGTGTATCCAGAAAAAGAACCAGACAGTGAACGAGGACAAGACAGGACAAGAGACAAGGAACTCAACTCGCACCGAGGGTGTCTCGATAGGGCTCACCTCAGCTGAAATGCTGGCCGGGTGCCAGCTCCCGCCGATTGCGGGCACCGCTAAGAGCAAAGCAAATCGCCTCTGGGCTCCTTGGATCTCGCTACCGAAACCACAAGCTGGCGGGGACGGTACCGAGGCACTGAAACATGCCCCAAATAAGTTCCAAGCCTGCGTGCTTAGCCCTCGAGTCAGGGACGCCGTCAGTACAACGGGCTGCCTTGTTGTCTGCTGAAAACAGGGATCTCTGTCGTGCCGCCAGGGCCTCGAAACACTCCCCTCTGCTCCGGGCCTTGCTGGTTTTGGCGCCTACAAGCACTTCGTACTATCCTGTACTTTGTCTGGTACGGTGCCGTTATTACCAATGCCTGCTTGTGCATACTAACCAGCAGTGCGGCTACTCGTACGCAGCTGTGCCCTTGTTTGGACGACATGCCGCGGTAACTTCTCATATTTTTTAGTTTTTTCTTTCTTTCTATTCTCTGGTTCCGTTCTGTTCCCAGTCGGCCGCACCCTGCCGCTACTGCAGAACACAGCCCGTCGTCCACAAAAGAGGATCATCCGCTTGGCGCGACCACAATTCCGCATTCTTGTCTTTGCCGGCGCCGATACCCCATGGCAGCGGTAGGGTGCTTCCCGCCAGCTGGAAGAGGGAGGGGCCAGAGTGGAAATGCACCATGGAAATGGACATGGAAATGGAGCCGGCCGGACATGCTACGACAGGACTGCCATGCTGCTGCTGCTCCTAGTACTAGCAGCATCCATACTATGCCATGCCATGCCATGCCATGCCATGCGAGGCCATGCGAGGCAAATCACAAGCACCCAAACCCAGCAAGCACAGGCCTTGTCACTATGATCCCACACCCCCAGCTCGACGACTCCAGCTGCCATCAGCAACCAAGTCTTGCTTGACTGTACTTCTTGCGTACCTACTCGTACGCCTCCTGGGCCCATACCCGTACTTGTACATGGTGTCTGCTGCCCAAGCGTCTTCTAGCGGTGCTACGAGTACGAGTAGAGTCTCTTACTGCCACCCCCCTTCTCTCGCTCGGATGTTTCTCTAATGCTAGCTTGGGATGGCTGAGAGGCTACTCCCGCTGGGCATCTCAGGCCTCGCTTTCTTCTTTCAGTCCTGTCCTGTCCTGTACTCTACTTGTACTTGCGTTTGCGCTTCCCCAGTGGGATCTAGCGCCGTTGGCAAGTTTTGCTCGTCGCTTTGCCCCTCTGTTCGCAGAAAGAATGAGGAAAAGGCCACACGCACGAGAGACACACCGTATCCTATCCCATCCCATTTTGAATTATATTAAGGTTCATCTCACCCCGACAAAATGTTCTTGTTTTCTTTCCCCCCTGTGGTTGTGTCTCACTCACTCACTCTTTCTGTCAGCCGTTCTCTTTTGCGCCAACAAAGGAAAAAGGAAAAAAGGAGCCTCCGATCAACTGAGCCGCAGCAGCACTCCCCTTGTCACAGGCAACGACTTATCGATGTCGATGTCGTACCGGCTTATTAGTCCATACTTCGACACGAGACAACCCAAGAGACTCGCTGGAACAGCACCTGGTAGCTAAACAAGCAAGAAAAAAGTCTGCGCAAATCGCCACCTTACTCAGGACCCCCGTGTCACTTCGGCTTGCGCCGTATTCAGCCTCCCGCCCTTGATCATTTAAAGGGCATCATTGACAAACCAATATCCGAGGGTGCCGACCTCGAGACAAGCCGGAGGTTACCAATTAGAGTCTGCTGCTTTGCGCAAGACCGCCCCACGGCAGCACATCACCGTCAAACGCCTCAATCGTATCTTGGTCGCCAGCAAACGCCCTACCAAACGCCGTAGGGCAGAAGAGTGCCGTCTGACCGCAGGAATAGTGCGACTTGGCAGGGACCCCGGCTGACGGCGCCAGGCCGAATTTCCATAAGCAGTCACCTCCCAGTCCACCATGCCCGTAACCAATCGTGGAGGCCTACCCGGCGCCGACTACAATTACTTGAAAGCCCAACCGCCCTCCTGGGAGTCTGTTCGAACCGGACTGTCTATTTTTGCCTTGGTCATCATTGCACGCTACTGTGTGCAGACGATCTACCGATGGCTTAGACCAACCGCGAGGCGCAACACTGCTACTCTTCTCCCCACTAACAACCTGCCGCTGCAGAGACAGTACGATTACAAGCCACACCTTGGGCCAATGGACGATGAAAAGCACATTGAAGGGGTCAACGACCAACACGAGGAACTGAGGGCGCCGACTACGACGACAACGACGACGACGACGAACACGACTACAGCCGCAATGGATCGGCACCCGCACTGGAGAAGCGCCGGTGGCACCTTGCCTGGACCTTTCATCTCCCGGCTGCCTCCCGCGCCACCTTTGACTCCGCCGGAGCTGAGCACAGCCGTCTTCACCTTGGACAACGAACGGTCACCCAGCAGCCAGAGCTTCATTCACCAGCCCAACCCCGACTACATGTCCTCGACGTCAACCACGGCGTTCCAGACAGGCAGCCCGGACTCTGCGTCTATCCCGCGGCGGCGATCCTACACTAGGACGCTCCCCATTAGCGTCCCTGGGTCTGGGTCTCACTCTCCTCAAGCGCAGTCTCCCGAGGCTGAATCCGTGGATCCAACCTTTTCGCCCAGCTCCTACCCGCCATCGGCCGGCTTGTTGCCGCCTGCGCCTCCCTCGGGTCTTGGCTCAGAGCCAGATGATCACGGCCATCGAAACGTCGACGTCCAGGGCGAGATTCTCTCGGTTCTCGATCGCGACGGAGCTGGCTGGACTCGCCATACACGTGTCTACGGTGGCGGAGCTTGTCTAGCGTGCGCTGCCAGCGGCGGTGGTTTTTACGGTGCTACTGTGACTCCAGAGGAGATGCGGTGATGGGTAGCAAAGTGAGAAGGGAGGAAGAAAGAAAGCCCAGCCATCTCAAAAGGGGGAGGGGCGCGTGTGCGTGTGTGCGTGTGTGCGCGCGCAACAACTCTGGTGCCTCAGCCGGACCAACTCGGCTCTCGCTAAATCATTACTCTGTTTCTCTCTATTGCCCTTCCGTTTCTTCCCCCCTTCCGCCATCCTCTATTTTCTGAGGACATGGCGCTTGCAAGGGGGGAGGAGCGGATTGCTGCATTTGTCTTATGCATGAAACTAAGTCGGGAGGCGCAGGATGCTTGTTTTATCCCTTTGCTGTTTCTCTTCTTTATTCTTATTTCAATTTTTTTGTATTTCTTCACATGGGGTGGCGCCTCGTTACATCTCCTTGTTTCAACCTTGTTTCCCAAGCTCCCCTTTTTTTTCCTCTTTTGCTTCTTTCAGCCTTTCCCCCACCAGCTTACTTTTGACTTGTTTTCCGGTAGATGGCCGCTCATTGTCATTGCGCCTGATTGCATGCTTCTGATCCCCCACCCCTGGTATTTATTTATTCTCATTCAAAAGCACTTTTTAAGCTGCACTGTAATATGGAGTCAGTTCTGTTTTATTGGAATGTTAAAAAAAGAGGGTTGTGATTGGGCCCTTTTACGTTTTCCCCTTTCCTCCTGTTTCTCCTCATCCTCTTCTCTCCCGGTCTACAGCTTATTAGGTTATGAATATTATGACGATATGATGACTCTGTTTCTTTCTACAATACTTTTTCTTTTTCATCTCTTAATTTTGAATAAATGAGCAAAGGATTTTGGTCAGATTAATAATGAAACTTGATCATAATACGCGCCATGTGATTGATCGTAGCGGAGATGCTTCACGACCCGCCAGCCATCTTTACTAGGTTCGACGCCTCTTTTCTTCTCGCTCTATCACAATGGGCATAGAGGATTAATGAACCGGGATCCCCCTCCCTCCCCCCCTCTCGGCCGAAGGTCTACAAGTAGCAAACGCTGCCTGGCGATGATGGCCTCGGGTCCTGTATCGTTCCTAGCCCGTAACCTTATTAGTGACCCTTCTCCCGAGCAAGAGTGCCGCATCCTTGACGCCTCTCTGCTGGCTGGCTTCTTTCCGTCTGCGGAATCCCTGGAGAGTGAATAAAAAGGCCCAGCTCCCATGACAAATAGGGGTGTGAAACATAAGAGCTATGAAGAACCTAGATCTCATCAGGGCAAGTAAGCGGGCACCTCTTAGGCTTGGGTCATACTACAAGTACCAGCTTCACAGTAGGCTGGCTGGGTCATACCAAGTACTAGCCCAGTAAGGCATGCTGGTCCATGTTCGCAATCCCCGATCAGTCACTTTCGTTTCTTGATCGTTCTTTTGTCACCGGGGGAGAAGGGGGGTCGTGTGGACAGGACAGGGCAGGGCCTTCTTGGTCGTTTGTTCTGCCAAGCTTAGTAGATTTCCCCCCGGGCGGAGGGGGGAAGAGAGATGTCACTCATCGGTGACGAGACGAGGTGCCTCACGGAGATGACATGACACCAACAACGGAACGGGAAGGGACGAAGAAGGAAGAAACAAGGGCCTTGGATTTGTCGCTCTTGAGAGAGACGGGGGGAACAAGGGCACGGACGGAAGCCGGATTTGGAGTTTCTTCGATGATTGGCCTGGTGACTCAGTCAGTCAGAGATGGTCGGCTCGGGCGTTGATGGTCCTAAAGTCCTAGGGGCCTGGTGATTGTCTTTTTGGCCTGGCTTACTGGTCGCCTTTGTCCTGCTGCCGAGGAATTCTTGACATGGTGTTAGCTAGTCAGTTCAGTAAGAAGAGCTCCAGTATATAGACGTGGCCAAGGGGGGGTTAGAAAGACAGACAGACATGAGTAATGGTTCTTCCTTAATGACCAACGACATGACTTGATGACATGAGCATATCTGTCACGCCGGTTTCCCTTTTCCCTTACCTTTCATTTGAGTTAAGTCATCCCATATTGATAAACGAAAGCCATGCCACAAAAGCAAAAGCAGGGTTGCGGGGAAAAAAAAGAACCGCTAGCACACCCAAGCAGAACCGCTCACGAAATCACCTATCGAACGCCTCCCCCGAATCCCTGGAGGAACGCGGACGCGGAAAATGTGGTCGTACAAGGCTGAACCGGGGCGCCACAAGTCCTATTCGGAGAAATGGGACGCCTTGGCCTGGCATGGCTCGTTCGTCCGTTCGTTCGCCTGGTTTGTTTTTCCCATGTGAAAGATGAGCACATGCTGTGTCTCCGCGGTGCTGTCCTTGTCCCTCTTTCTTCCCCTTGCTTGTTTTTTAAAAGCGCATATGTTAGCTATTTAAAGGTACACATAAGACAGAGAGAGTAGATCTCAGAGGATGAATGGGTCTTTGCTATACTCAGCAACCGCGCGGATTTATTCCAAAGCAATTATGGCGTTAATAAATCTCGATGTGGTACGCTTTTGAGATAAAACGGCGCAGAGAAATATCGCTACTGACCTGGGGAGGCGTTTTATGGTTCTGACGTGAGCCCGTGTCAAAGCCTGGTCAGCGGCCATAAACTGGGTTACGGAGTGGGCTTTTTTTTTTTTTTTTTTTTTTTTTTTTCAAACGAGAGGGGAGCGGAGAAGCGCGGACGGACATGGGGGGAAACTCATGAGGAGAGGAGGAGCGTGAGGGGGAAAAATGACTGATATTATGCATATACCGTTTACCGTGTAGTAGTGTGTATGTGTATTTTCCTGTATAGGAGAGCTTTGCGAGGAATACGGAACATACAAAGTTGTTTTCTTGCAGGGTTTATTGATTTTGGGGCCCGTACAGTAAGAGACATGCTTTGCTGACGAGATTTGGCGATGTTTGGTAATCTATCCAGGGCTGTGGGAGGGACAAAAAGGGAAGATCCACTTGGCTGAGCTGGGGGGGTCAGCTTTTTTCAAGGGGAAACATGGCTGAGCAATTTCATGCGATGGTCGGTAGTGTGTATTTTGTATTCTGGGCAAAAAGATGCTGTTTTTGTTTATTTGTTTGTTTGTTTTGTATTTTGTCCAGCTGAGATGAGTGTATATGCCCATTGGATTGAGTATCGGGAGTTTGGATTTCCTATTATGGGTAATGGTGTGCTTTTACTATAGGTATATTGAAATAGAACTGACAGTCAGCTTTGATTTGTCGAGCTTGTGTCTCGGTGAAAAGACAAGAACGCTTTGTCTCGTGACGAGCTGCCAACCCAAGAACTACTACTAATCGCTAAACATTCTCGTAACAAGAAATCAGCTCCATGCTAGACAAGCATTGCAAACCTGTCAATCTCGGATCCATGTCTGTAAGTAAGCGGCACCAACTAAGATGAGATGATTGAGCTAGGTCTGTGTGTCGACCGGGGTGATCCGTATTGGCGGGAGGTCAAGGGCTCGGGGTCGGTCGGCGACCACCGTGGAGTTCCGCGGCGGGTTTGAATTGAATTTCTGCATAGGTGTCCGTTGTTCCGAGTTCCGTAAGTGTTCCGGGGCGTGATTTCGTTTATGTCAGGCCCAGTCCTGTCGCTTCTAAGCGGGGAGGAGAAGGATTAGCGGAGTGGTGAATTATACAAGGGAGGAGATCCGGCCGCGTGGGTTATCCCACATTCCGAATTTATGGGAGACTAAATGTATTTCATATACTGTAAGCAGGGACTGATGTCAGACCAAGGTAGGTCGTCGTAGCATTCGTATGTATATTTGTATGTATTAGCCACCTTTCATACTGCCAGGTCAGAGAAGTGGATAGACAAATTAAGGATACGATAATCAATATACCGACCCAAGTGACCTGATTAAGACTTCGGTCTTCTGCTCCGACAAAGCATACGTAAGAGTCACTGGGGTAATGAACATCCATTCCTATATAAGATGCCGGTTTCCAGGGGGTTAAATCAACTTCATGCAAACCGCGGATTCGGTGATTCTTGCGAGTAAAGATATTCCCTCGACCAACAACAATATAAGCAAAAGTGGCCTTTTTCCATCCGCGGAATGCGTCCCTTGCTGCAGAAACAGGGGCTATCGTTGTCAGTCAGCGCCTAGATATATAGCCCCTGATGCTGTCTGTCCGACTCGCCCGTAAGCGCCGATGCAATTCAATTGAGTCAGTAGCTTTGTTCACTGCCCTGGAAGCTTGCGTCTTTTGTAAATGTCTCCATCGGCGTAATTATCTTGGGTATGGCATGGTTTTCAATTCTAGGAGAGACAGACAGACATGACAGAGAGAGATATAGAGAGAGAGAGCAAGTCATACGTATCTCTCTTACTTGCTTGTACAAGGAATATACGCGTAGATATGTAATTCGGACATAAGACGTACTGTTGACAAAGCTGGGCCGCATTTGTTACCCTCTCCTCGCTTACGCTCAGACATGGGCGTATTATAACCCCTAACCTTGTTCGAGTCAACGTTACGTAGAAGATTTCAGTAAGAAAGTGTTTCTCTCGGATAATACATGCTCGTGATTCAACTGCCGAATTACGGAACCGTGATATTACATGGATAATTACATGTAATGACCGCAAGCCTACTGGCGGATCATTGCTAAAATGCAATATCTTGCTAGGATCGGACAGTCCATAGCAACTAGTATCGGACCATAAGCTCTCGTAAGATGGGGAATTAGCAATCAGCTATTGCGGGCACATGGGCAGACCGTCTGGGGGAATAGGCGGAGTGCGTACTTAGCTATGAAAGACCGGTAAGTGCCGTCCATTATCATCCTAGGCCGGAATTATGAGCGAGGGTAGCAGCTGATGTGGGCCTTGCTAAAGTAATTACGCTGTGTAATAGTCCGTTACAGTCCAGATTACTCCGTACAACCAGATAAATAGCAAGCTTATGTCGAAATAAATCAGTGATGATATTGCAGACGATCCTTTCCATTACGAACAATAGAAAATCAGTGTGGTTACAGTAGCACACGAGATATTCGAAGCCGTGTTTGGTTTGCTTATCGCCAAAATTGAGATGTTTGTGATTCAATCATCCTTTTTGATCGTTGGAATAGACAACTATTCGACATGATGCTCTCCCATATCAAAGCTGGTAGACTTCCAAGTGCCATGGACAGAGGCTTTCAATGGGGTAGAAAAGCGAGAGTTGGAGTAAAGAAAGAAGAAAAAGAGAAAAAGGCAGAAAAGAAAAAAGAAGAAAATGATTTGAAAAAAGAACAAAAAGGTAGGAAGAAAGAAGGGAGGGAAGAGGAAGAAGAATAAAGAAAAGACGCTTTTGAGAAGCAAGCCTCACAGGATCACAGAGAAATTGAACAGCAGATGTTGATAAACATTCACATCAGCACTTCCTTGAAATCTGGAGACAATCTATTTCCCGCGTCTACACTAATGACTCGTTGCTATGGTGGGTTCAGTTTGTGCCAAAGCATCAAATGATTGGTCGGACGACTACTATTCGAGCGGATTGACAAACCGCAAAATAACTTTGAATTCAAAATTGAATTTATTTCAACCAATAGAACAACTATTGTAGTGTTGTATATGCAGGATGTTCGAATAAATGAGATGCCGAGGGAAGCGTACAAATCTAGTCTGTGTAGGTTATCACTGTGCGAAAAACTGAGATCAGGATTTTGCATGTATGCACTGCTTTTCAACCACGAAGATTTCATTTTAGACAGCACGAGAGTTCGAAACGAGTCTAGAGAGCCGGTTTGGTAATAGTAGTTTTTAGATCAAATAAATTCTGGTCGTATTGATGACTAGTTCTAGTCGAATCCAAGAATGAGCACATATGGAAAGCCATGTTTACGATGCGATTGTACCATCAAGACTTTCCGATAAGTGAGAAACGCTACATGGCAATGTCAAAGGTGAACTGAATTGCCGTATAAGCCCGATGATTAAGTTCAATGATGACCTAGCAGGCTACCAACTCAGACAACAAAGTTCAATGAGTCAACCAGCGATTGCGTACAGCAAAGCGTTCGCATTGATCCGTTGAGTCATAAAAGCCATTGGATTGGGGCTTGACAGCATGTATTCAATTTAGGCACCCAGTCATTGTAGGTTTTATAGGCAATTGCCACTATACATGTATCCATTTCGCTGTTCAGGTCAAGATTCTTATTCCCAACACATTTGCCTTACATACCTACATAAGTGATTAATCATTGGACTCTCACCGTATCAAGATACAGGTACTCTTACTCCATTCGATATCAAGTAAGAAAGCTTGCCTCGGACAGGAGTACCATGTGAAGCTTGAATCAGATCTGTACAGGATGCTGCTATCCACACCATCCATAGACACAACCCAGCGGATTTTCTTGTCGACAATTTGGAATACGCTCCAATCGCCGACATGGGTTTTCATGGACGGAATAGGCAAGTAAAAGTACAATAGTCATCGACATGGGCATCGAAGCAAACGCCTACCCGTTACGGAAAGTCATCGATGGATCTACATCTCTGGTCTGTCACTTGAATGCCACGAACTACTGTTGCTGCTGCTGCCGTGAGAAACTCCGTCGGTAGCTGAACTCCGCACGAGAGTAAAGATAAAGCCCTCGCCACCAACAACAGGAAGCATGCCAATTGATGCTTTTGACGCCGTCGCAACGAGAGGCGGTAATGTAATGGTGGTGCAGCATGCGGGCTGATTGGCGCCGGCAGGGCTCGGCTATGCCGTTAAGCGCCAGAAGTCAAGTCACGCAGTAGGCCATGCATAACGGTAACATGCACGCTGCACCGCGGCTAATGAGGAGCAAGAGTCTCGATCCCGGTCCATTGGCGGTCGGCCAGCGATCCGGCATGTGTCGATGGCGGTACAGACTGACTCCTCACCTGGGCTCGTATGTCGTTCGCAGACAAGATGCCGTTGCTGCGAGTCGGCGCGTTGATGGAATGACACGTCACATGCCGCGACAACTCGGTCGTCATTCTCTCTCTCGGCCTTCATTCTCTCTCTCGGCCTTCATTTGAGAGAGTTCGGCCCGGGGGAACCACGAGGCTGGGTTCATCAACTTATTAGCCATAGTTTCGGAGTACTAGGTCTGGGTCATGAAACAAAGCCTCGGACCACTCCGTTCGCCAGGGTCCGTATCCCCGGAAAGCCAAAGCTTGAAGGAAATGAAGTCAGACGCGCAATTGGCCATGGTGTGCATTCTGCATATCTGCTAATGCACATCAGCAGCCACTTGCTACGGTTCAATGTTATTTAGCGATGCGCCAAAATGAAAGGCATGCGACATGCATTCCACCATTTTGGCGGGCACACACGTCCAGGTCAAGTTAGCAAGCAGGGCATTGATGGAACGATGAAGAGCGGCAGTGGTCCATATCTAATAGACGCCTTGCAGGTAGTCTTCGCAGTACTGTACATACGAGTACTGTTGAAGACATGGTCCAAGAGCCCTGTGCGCATTAGTGGATCTCGCCTCGTCTCGCCTTTGATGAGTTGGAGTGTTTCGTGTTTGAGAGTCTCCGCGTCAGCCTTTCGAGTCGTCCCTGATATCAATGCCTGCCTGCCTGCCTGCTTGTTTGCCCTGTACAAGTACTGTGAGCTCGGTGAGAGATCCTCATCATAGCCAATATGCCGGGTTTGGCGACGAGGCATGAGGTTGACAAGATTCAATAGTCTCGTCATAGCCTCGAGGGGCCCCTGGAGGAGAACCTTGCCGTGCCCCTCGCTGCATTGCCGCCATCTGGTGCATGTGCAGTAGCACATCAACAACGGGCTACCTCTGGGGACCGTTTCACGCCTCTAGAAGGTAGCCTGCCTGTATGCGCCTACCTATCGCTCAGGTACAGTTCTCAGAGCCTTGCTAGCTGTAAACTCTGTGCTCAGTAGCGTCGTGATAATAATATCTGTTCCCACATATCTGCAAGTATGCTCGTACATACACGAGCAGGCCAGGCTGAGACTAGCAACTCGAATGAGCCTCTTGGGCTGTGCTGTCCTTTTTCGCGCAATCATGTGCTAGCAGGGCGACTTGAAACACGGGAGGCTGCGGTGTGGAGTCGACGATCTGGATGGAGTCTGACATGGGGGGTCGAAGACTTGTATGAAGACTCGTACAAGCAACACAAGTACCCGTACATGTGAAGCGGTCGTACAGTAGATACATAGACGGTTTTGCTGGTCGTCGGCCTCGTATCGTGTCCTCGGGCCCGGCTAGGAGAATCGTGAGCAGACTGACGGTCAGCACTTGCAAAGAGCATTCAATGACGATCCAGAGACCCAATGGCGGGCAGAGGAAAAGGAGCTGGGCAGCGATTCTGCAGGTTAGGCGCACAGCCGGCAAAAGGGCTCGAGACCGAGACGGAGAGACTCGACACGGACGGGTAAAGAGTCGACGGCGGGAGCCAAACACGATTTAGCTTGGATGGATTGGATGGACCCCGCCATGTGCGTGTTGGTGTTGGCTGTTCTTGTCGAGTCACGAGCATCGTTGGGTCAAGGTGTGGTGGGCTTGTCGTGTCCGTTCCTGGATGATTGAGGGTTCTCTCTTCTGAGGGTCTCTCTGTTTCTCTGTTCCTCTCTGTGTCTGTCTCTTCTCTGTGCCCTCCCACTCTCACGTGTCTCTCTGCTGACAAGAGAAAGACTGACGACGATGACAATGACGCACGTTACTCATGCTGCTTCTTCTTCTCCATCTTTTCCGGCTTCTTCGCTTCTTCGTCGTCTTCTGCAAATGCCTGACTCTTTGCTTGTCTCGCGGCCAATGGCGGGGGAAAACAGCCAAAGAGGAGCAGCAAGCAGCGTTGAGGGTGTCGTCACGCCGGCTTAGCCCATGGCTGTGTGTACTATGTACGAGAACCTGTACCCGAGCACGCGCGCTGATTGGCCGAGCCCGGGCAAGAATAGCCTGGCATCCCCTGCATCTAAAAAGGCACAACACACCTCCATGACGCCCCTGAGCCTGAACGGGATGTACAAGTACTTACCAGCTATTCCAAGAACAGGGGAGGCCTTTTTCTCTTCCTCACTTGTTATTTTTTTGCCGCCCTCGATGGGGCAGGGGTTGGGCAGCTGTTGGGCTGGGCGGACCAGTCAGAGGCCACGACGCGAAATGCCACAGCCGTGTTGGTGCGAGTATCTGGTACCTGCTCTTGATCTTCGGGGAGGTACATGTGCCCGTACCTCTGACTTTGCTGGAGCCGTCTCGTTGTGTCTCCATTCTTGGGCGCTTGTCACGCGGCACATTTTTGGCGACTCACTCGCTCACCGGCAGAGTCAGTTCAGTTTAGGATGTACGTACTCGTAGGGAGAGGGGGGAAAGATTAAGCATGAATGTGTTTTGTCTCTGCTCTGCGTTGCATTGTCTGCAGTAAAACAGTAGCCCCAGCCGTGTATCAAGATGCGAATACTTACAAGCGACTTGATGTATGTAGGAGTACAGCAACTGCCTCATTCGTGCTGCTTAAGAGGTACATGCCCTGAATTGCGATTGACCGTATCCTCTACCTCGCCCGTCCGTGCAGCTCCTCACAGCTGCACCTCCGTCGCCCTGATTGGCCGCACGCCACAGCGCCTCTTTGGTTCCCCAGAGCGCGCTCCAGAAGGTGGCCACCGGCTTCCAGGCGCTGCCATTGGCCGCCATGCCGCACCTCGGGTCCTGGAGGTCGCCCTTCAGTGGCTACAGCGCGCTGGCTCCAGCTGTCAAGTGGCCTGTCGGGGGGGCTGTCGGGGGCTGTCGGGGCCTGTCACAGCGCCCTGTTCCTCTGGACAGCGCACCTCCAGGGGTCCGAGGCCTCTCCACTTCCGGCTCTAGGGCGCCTCCTGTCTCCTCTACTTGCTAGTCACTGCTAGTCTAGCGCCTCCTCTGCCTCTCCCTCCAAGCCAGTCCACTTGAAATTTCCCAAATCCTCGACGCCACCGGCTCGTTTTTTTTTTTCCCTTCTTTTTTTTTCATCTTCCTCTCCACCCTCCTCCACCTCCGTCCGTCTTTGTCCCATCGCCATTTACACCGCCCTTCGCATCTATTCTTCCCTCTCTTCTCCCTTCTGTGGCCCCTTCTTGCCTCGCCTTATTTTTCTCTTTCTTCGCTTTTCAAGTCGAGTCTCGTCTTGCGGATTCGCCCTTTCGCGTCTTATCGCCACCCATCTCGCACATCGGGACTTTCGGACCCTGGAAAAAATTGAAAAAAAGAAAAAGAACGTTTTAAAAAAAAAATCAAACACGCTTCACTTCAGGGACAAAAACGAGGACAGGAACAAGGAGACTCCCACCGGATTTTATGGAAAGCGCATTCACTAGTGACTCTCGCCGTTAATCGACTGTAATTTATTCTTCGACCGCTCCTTGCTTCCAACGCAACGCAACGCAACGCAAAAACCGCATCACGCCAGCATTCTAATTCGTCCGAGCATTCACAACCCGCAGCATTTTTGCACCCATCCAACGTGTATTTCCATCCCGAATTTAGATTACAGAGCATCGACTCCCTCGCCGGCACGCTACGACTATAATACGAGAGGCCTTTTCGTGTGGCGTTTCCCAAATCGCGTCTCACCAAACTCTGGAAAAGAACGCGCCTGTTGCTTTTCGGCTTGTCCGCCACGGCGCAATCGTTCGGGTTTACCTTTGACGGAAAGTTCGACTTCAATCACGAATTGCTCTAGGCAGCAAAATTCCATCGCCAGTTCCCTCCGTGTTGCCTTTTGGCGCGTCGCTTATTCGTCAACAACGTCGTTGCTTCCCTTCGTCTGCGGTCAATCTGCTTCTTTCCAAACCATCCTTGACATATTTTTTTTCGCTCATCTTTTCATCAAAATCCCTTGGTTTAATTTCCACTCTCCTTGCCGTTTTTTAATGCTCGGAGGTTTCTTCTTCTTGTGAAAATACTACGATTTCTTGGATTTTTGGCTTTCTCTCTACTTGGCTGTCCTCGCGACTTCGACACAATTCACCGACCGAGGCCGTTTCGAGTCATCTTCTCCTGACGATCATCACCTTCGTCAGCTCTCGATTTACAGCATCGCTTGCGCCAATTTTTTTATCAAAACTTGATTCAACTTCATATTAGATTTCTAATTCTTTTTTCAAGCGCTCTCAAGACACGGTTGAACCTGTTCCTTCGGCTCGCCCCGCAGCACCTGCTTTCTCCCGCGTCATTTGACTCGCAACCATCTTTCCTTCATTCTTCTCATTCTGAGTTATGGACGCAGGCAGTCTCGCTCAAATGACTTCCAACAACTTTGTTTCTCCCGGCGGCCTGGCCTCTCGCCGCGGCAGCCAAAACATCAAGCCGCTGTCTTTTGATGCCATCAAGCAGGGCAACAAGAACACTGACGGCGGCGTTCCCACTCCGCGCACCAGCCGATCTCATCTGCTTGCGGGCCTGAGAACGGCCCCCAAGTCTGCTACCGTGGCTTCCTTTGGTCCCATGTCGCCCACGGCCGAAGGTCCTGTGCAGCAGTTTGCTCGAAACAGCATGGCCGCCAATGCCTATGGCTACGCCCAGGGCAACGCCTACAATGCTCCCAAGACGGCTTTCCCCCAGTACGGCCAGCAGCAACAACAGCAGCAGGCCTACCAGAGCATGATGGGACAGCAGTACACTGTTGACCAGGTGCTCGCCCCCCCTCAGCTCTCCATGGATGAGCAGCTCCAGGAGCAGATGGACCCCAACCTGTATGCCCAGCTCGTGGCTACCAATCTCTATCTGGCACAGCAGCAGCAGAGGCTCCAGCAGCAGCTCAGGAGTGTACAAGCCGCGGCCCACCAGTTCCAGCAGCTCAACATCAGCAACAACCAGCTTGCTCAACAGCAGGCCGCCTTTTACGAGCAGCAGCAACACCTCGCCGCTCAGGCTGCGGCCGCCCAAGGCCAGCAAGTCTACTACGATGCTGCCACTGGTCAGTACTACGTCGACACCTCGTCTGCCAAGGTGGTTTCCTCGGTCAATATCGAGCAGCCCATGTCTCCCGGCTTCAACAATTTCCAGCAGCAGCTGCAGCAACAACAGCAGCGCCAGCAACTGCTCCAGCAACAACAACAGCAGCAGCAACAGCAGGCCCCTCGCGTTCAAGTTTCGCCTCCCCCTGAGAGCCAGCAGGGCTCATTCCGTGGACCCTCGCCCCCGCGACGCTTTGATTCTCCTACAGAGGTCACTCCTCTCCCTCCGCCATCTGCTAACGCCTTCCGACGCGGACATAAGAAGTCGTCTTCCCTGGCCGTTAACAGCGTGCTGGCTGCTGCCGCGGCTGTAGGCGATTCCGGCAAGACCCCCGCGCCCAAGACTGCCGTCTTCCCGGCCACGCCCGGACTTGGCGGATATGGCCCTGGTCAGGCTCGTGCCGGTGAGCACCCAGTTCGTCAGCCTCGCGGACCGCCCTCCATGGATGAGCTCAAGGCGAAGCCCACGGCCCGACACGAGGGCAGCAAGAACTTTGCCACCCGTACCCGACGATCGGCCGTGCACAACCTTGTCCGCGCTGGTCTGGAGCGCCGCAAGGGATCTGGCAGCTCCAGCGGCAGCATGAGCCCTGTATCCGAGACCGCCGAAGAGTCCACCACCCCTATTACGGACAACGATTCTGACTCGGGTCGTAGCGGCTCGGGCAGCTTGGCTGGTGAGATTGAATGCGGCACTGCGCGAGCCTCCACTGCTGGCGGTTGGGGCGCCATCGGCTCAGACCGACCCGGCTCGCGACAAAAGATCCGCGGCAGCGTTGACAGCAACTCTGGCTGCGAGAGCGACAGCAACTCCTTCGCTGACGTTTTCAAGAATGGTGCTCTGCGAGCATCCAAGGCACAGGAGGCTGCAGATGGTCAGCGCAAGGCACCCAGGCTGGTTCTGACCAGCGTTGAGAAGCGTAAGATGGCTTCTGTTGCATAAGCGCTCAAGTCGTGTGTTTTTATACGTTTTTACTCTTCTTCTGCCCTTATTATTCTAATTCTTATGACTTGACGCTCCCGGAAACTTTTTTGATACGACCCTTTTGGACCTGCGAACTGCATTTTTATCGACACGATCTCGACAACTTTTCGCTTGTCCACTTCTTTTTTATTACAGACCACTCTCGCCCAAGGCATGCGTACTTGTGGTGCGCGAGGCGAGGCAGTGGCCATACCTTTATCAATGATTATTCATAATTCAATTCTCGACTGTCATTCAAAACGAATTTCTTTTCTCTCTGGACTGGAACATGGGGGCGGTTTGCCCAGGGACTGTTTTTGCTTCATGGTAGAGGACGTTGGGGAACTTATACCACTAGTGAGAGACGACGTGATCAACGAAAAAAAGACGAGGGTGTCATTCTGCTGCCTTTTCTCGAGAGTGGAATACAACCGTGCTCTAGATGGAGCCCCAGGTTGCGGGACTTTTCGAGGAGGGCCTGGCGAGGCAGACATGAACCACCTTGACCCTCTTGACATTCTTTTGATGCATCTTGTTGCTCCGTCTCACTCAAGCGTGTATGGTTTTTGACTTCTACGGGGGTTGAATGACGACGAGGGAGGATGGGGATATAAATAGGTAGTGATAGTTTAAAGATAGTGGCGCGCAATTCAAATTGAGGCCACGGACCTGTTTTTTCTTGTGTTTCTCAATGTGAAGGTTAATTCTATGGTAAGTGACGTGCACTCGAGTGTTTCGTTGGACTTGTAATCACAGGTTATTACTTACAGATAGATCTTTATTCGTGCAATACACGACCAAATGAGAGCAGGATTTACAACAGCAGCACATTATTATATACTAAGGTTTCACTGAGTTCATCTTGCCGAGCATGCTTTCTGCAGATTAATTAACCATCAACCAAAACACGTCCAGTTCAAGTTTCCCAAGACAAGACCAAACAAACGGAAGCCAGCCAGTCAGTCACGATTCAAACCATATTCTCCCCCCTCTCCCTTATTTTTTTTCTTTCTCTCTTTCCCTTGTGGCGTTAATGGTGCCTCGTTTTCTTTCTTTCTTTCTTTTCAACTTCTATTTATTCGCTTTTTGGTGAATGCGGTGGTACCGTGTATGTGTGCGACATGTGTATGTATGTATGTATATAGATAGATAGAGCAGGTAGGTATATATGTATGTGTGGTTTAAGTGTATTTGATGCCATGGAAGGGTGACTGATTTCATTTTTTTTTTTCGTGTCTAGCTCATGTGTCTCGTCGCTCTTGGTCTTTCTTTTCTCTCTTCTTTTGTTTTGGACCCCCTTTGTTTGTTCGTTTGTTTAATAAATGCTTCTTTTTAGCGGTACATGTCTAAATGACAAAAATGACTCTTCTTTTGGTCTCATGGGTATGTGTGTTTGGTATGTCTTTCTAATAGAAAGTGCGGGGGTTATATATGTTATATCATCGACTTGACTGCCGCATAACGTCAATCGACGACGACGACGTCTTATGTCTCGCCTTCGGCGTAGAAACAATACCCGAGCTGGCGCTACTACTCGGCCGAGACCCATTGCTACTAAGATTGCTCTCGCTACGAACAACCATGGGGGCCATGAACTCCCCTCTCAACATGCCCGCGCTGCTCCGCTGCTGTATGCTAGACGTGATGGGCGTTCGCGGCGTTAATCGGCTCTTCAGTCCATAGCCACCGGCTCCGCCACTGCTGCTGCTAGCCATCGAGTTGGAGTCGTTGCTCACTCGCCGCGGGGGTCCTTCTCGGCTCTGTGGCCGGTACATGGCATTCTCTCTGTCTAGCGCCGCCCCTGATCGCCGAGGACTGGCGGCAACCTCGATGAAGGCATTGCTACTGCCTCTACTCCTGTGCGTTGGGGTCTGAGGCATGGACATGGAAGACTGTAGGCTTTGCGGAGTGTAATTTGTGTTGTGCCTTGACCCGCGCCTTGATGAGGATGATAGGTTGACCTGGGTGGAGGAAATCATGCCTTCGTGCCTCATCATGACCGGTGATGCTGGCTGGGAAGAGTGTGCCTTGATAAGCTCCGAAGCAAGATTGCGAACGAGCACAGCGGAATCCTTCTCCGCCAGAAGCTGAATCGAGTCCATGAGGGATCGCATCTGGGCACTGTTGAGTGTCCGGGCGCCGTCTCCGCTCCCAAGGACGCCAGGGTCGCAGACATCCATAATGGCACGCACAAGCCTCAACAAGTTAAGCCGCACTACTGCCTTCTTGTGTCCTAACCTCTGGGTAATGCCGGCGAACATCTCGGGCTTTGCTAGCGATGCTGTCAAGCCCGGACTTAGACGAAGAAGCTTTAGCAGCGGCTCCAATAGGTTAAAGTCAAACGCGTTCAGTCTGTTAGTGCCGAAGCAAGAGACAATGGCTCGCGAGAAGTTGTTGTCCATCAGATGGCTTTCCACGTTGGCCGTTTCCTCCTGGAGCCAGACCAAAATGGCATCCAGCGCGGTAACTTGCCAGTACTGGTCTGACAGTAATGACACGTAGAAATCGAGACCCTTGTTCTGCCAGAGGTATCTTCGCCCCTTGGATCCAGAGTGAGCCATGTCGCAGAGGATCGGCAAGGCAAATTCCTTCGGCGGCCGGTCCGTTTTCATGATCCGCAGCAACAGCGGGATGATGCCCCCAACGGCAGCATCTTCCTGCCTCTCTTTGCTTAGCCGGCAGAGGTTAAACATCGTATTGAGAACCTGATTAGAGATCTCACGGAGGTGTTGGTGATTTTTCTTCATGCTGTAACTTAATAGATCGATGAGGAAGTCAATGGCATCAGCCGAGTGCAAAGATTCGATGGTTGTTGAGAGCATGGACAGGTTTTTGATGAACCTGAGCATGGTAATCTGATGTGCCGGCGTCATTCGACGGAGATCTTTGAGGACGCTCTTCAGTACCTGGCGATCTGCCACCACTTCCTTGACATAGTTTTCAGCTTGGCTAAAGAGGTAAAAGATGTTGACAATGCGCCCCTCGATGAGCTCACTCAGCTCATCTTCCCCTTCTTCATCAAGAACACGGTGTAAAACGAGCGCAAGCGGATAGAGGATTTTACTCCTTGAGAAGATGCGGCAAAAATCGTTCTTGGGAGTCGGGCCCTGCAGTTCAAACACGTTCCAGATGCCGTTTACTCCGATGAGCACAAGGTCTCGAGAACTATCATAGTCTTCGTCCAGAAACTCGACAAGAACGTTGAGACCACCTGCCGAGACAAACATTTGTAGCGTCAAAGTCGATGTCTGGTACATTTGGCGGACGAATGCGGCGGCTTCCAGGCGAATCTCATTAGAATATTGTCGTGCGGCGAACTTGGTAATGATAGGTATTCCTCCAACGAAGCACAAGTTCTCCTGAATTTCAACGTCATCGAGAATAATCTAGGAAGAAAAATTCACATTAGTAAATGTAGATCCACACAAGGGGCTGTCTGTATCTTGCTAATACGTACCGCGTTGACGACTTTAAGCAGCTGAAGAATCATATGGTGTCTGCTCTTTACCGTACAGGGCTCCAGAATTTCCAATAGAGGCAGCAATCCATGAGCACTGATGATGAGGTTTTTTGCTTCTGGGGTTTCCCATAGCAATCCCAGCTGAGCCACAGGTTAGTTCAAAAGCCCTTAAAGATCTGACGATTTCTTTCAAGACAACTTACTAAATGTTCAGAGAGATCTGCCAATATGTCTTCGCCTTCAGTCATCTTTAGAGAACCAACCAGTTCTTCTATCTTTTCAGCAAGCCGTGCATGCCTGTCTCGCGCAATCTTCGCGTCCATGTCCATCTCGTCCCACCCTGGGTCCATGGACGCAAACGGGTCATCTTCATCGTCGTCGTCGCCTAACCAAGAGTTTCCTGACATTCTGGATAGGAGCATGAGACCGGCTTCTTCTGAGCCTCGCTCACTTTCTTCTCTTTCGGCTATGGATTCCTCGGGCCCGAAAACGTCGGAGAAATCCTCATCATCATCTTCGGCGAACTTCTGAATCTCGATAGAAGAGCGAGTACGTCTCATGGGACGATCGGGAAGGACTGACGGCCTTGACAGTGCCTTTTTCCTTACCACGCTGCCGTCGGGGGCCTGCATTGATCGAGGCAAGCTGGTTAGGTCGGATGGGTGGAAGAGCTGAGGCGCTTCAGGTTGACGCAAGCCGCCCTTGATGAAGATATCCCGTTAGCTGGCTGGGCACTTTTTCTCATGGATGGCAGGCATAAAGAGAGAGAAGGGGACTTACCTTTCGGACGGCTTGATGAACCTTTTGGTCAAACTCACTATCGTCATCAGAAAAGAGATCAGAGTAGTCCTCAGAGCTCTGCTCTCGGTAAATAGCGCCAGGACGAGGAGGCAATTCGAACTTGTTCCCAAAGTGTGGCTTTGGAGGGGATTTCGTCCGAGACAGGTTAGGCGAAGTAACTGCTTGGCTGAGGGTCGGCCTGGATGCTTGGTGCACCACTTTTGGCGGTGATGCAGGTTTTGATGCCGTCATCCTCCTGGAGACGGGTCGTATTGTCTGCTCCTGAGATTCCTGATAGAGCTCATTGTTGGGCCCCTTGATGGTCATCATGTCGCCTTCAAAATCGTTATCGTAGTTGTTTACATCGCCCCTGAGATCATTCACTGACGCAAAAGCTTTAAGTTTGTCGGCGGAGAGAAGCCCTCCAAAGTTATCTTGCGGTCTTAGATGCGGAAGTTGCAAAGCACTGGGAGAAATTGCTGTTGCAAAGTCGTCGTCCCAATTATCATCATCTGAGTTACAAACGTTAGTCTTCAACTATTACAAACAGAGTGAGTAGATTGTAGGCATACCTAGCTCAGCCAGTTTGAAGGCACCGATTCCCGCACCTGCACCAGCACTGAGCCTTGGTTTAGCAAGGCCTAACCGGCCCTTAGACGGTGTTCCGCTAGAGATTCGAGAGACGGCGTCGGAGCCTAAAGATGTGCGGAGAGAAGTCCCTGAGGAGTTGAGGGCCTTGTTCCACTGTTTAACCTCCTCAACCGCATCGTCAAAGTTGGCCGGTGTCCTTGAGACGGGCGCGTCTGTGCGGCGGCACCCCACAATCCAGGCATGCCTGAGTAGTTTTCGAGCCGAGACTCTGAGATTGGGGTCCTTCTGAAAGCACTGCATGAGGAAATCTCGGGCAGCCTATGTTTGTACGTTAGTATTCGTACCAGTTTGGTGGCCATTTTTGTTTAGATAAAAGTTGGCAATGGTAGAGACGTACAGCTGAGATGCCTTCCGGCAGTGGAGGATGGTCATCGTTGACAATGGCGAATAACGCCGGCATAGCAGCCAGATTGTGATATGGCGGCTTGCCCTGGAGAAGCTCGATAACGGTACATCCAACACTCCAGATATCCGAGGCGGAGCTGGCGCCGGACAGCTGAATGATCTCAGGGGCCATCCAGTAAGGAGTGCCAACGACTTGCGCCTCCTTGTCCTGTCCACCAGCAAGCGTGCTGGTCGAGACGCCAAAGTCGGCAAGCTTGACCGTCCCGTCTTTGGTGGTGAGGATGTTGGCGCCCTTGATGTCGCGATGGATGACGCCTTGGTCGTGGAGGTATTGAAGGCCTTGGAGAACTTGGGTTGTGTAGACGCCGACAAGGTTTTCCGGAAACTTGCCATATTCTCTACATATTGAATGGAGCGAGCCATTTTCACAGTATCTATGGAAACCTTCATGTTAGCTTACAAACTTCATACTTGACCGGAGATAAGGTGGAATTGCCTACTCCAGGATGATGTTGAGGCATTCGGTTGACCTGACGAAACCGATATACTTGACAATGTTCTCATGCTGCTTGTTATTAGCCCTGACGCACTGTATCATCCGGAGTCTTTTTGGTCGTTCTTACAAAAAGGTTCTTGAGCAGGTCAATTTCGCTCTAGTAATCATAATCAATCTCGGTCAGCGTCATCCAAGCCTACACAGTAAAAGACTGTAGAAGAGAAAATGTGCTGCAACGCCGCTGCAAGCTTACCTCTATCATCCGCTGCTCACTCTTTGGCAAATCTGTTAGCTTGATTTGCTTAATGGCCACGGCCTCTCCGGTACCCCAGTTGAAGGCCTTGTACACCGATCCAAAGGCTCCCTTTCCGAGGCATTCGCCCAAGCGCTATAATCCAATCAGCACGCCGTCTCATCTCACAAGGGGGTCACAGTTCCCAGTCTCGTCCCAGCAGCATTGCCGATTCGAAATTGCGTCAAGTGTCAAGAACATACATAGTCCTTGAGCCCAGGGTCCTGCATGGCCGCGCTTTCCCTTTGGCGGTCCTTGCGAGAGGGCGTGGACGGGGCATTCGACCTCTCGCGCGGAGGGGGAGCGGCGAATCGCCCATTGCTAGCGGGATAAATGTTCTCGGCCGGCATCTCTGCGTCGTCGTGATTGTCGTCGTCGTCGTCGTCGTGTTGGGTTGGAGCCTGACCAGCAGCTTCAACTGGAGCTTCAGCTGGAGCCGGAGCTTGAAGGGCTTCTGTGTTTCCCCTCCTCTTCTTGGGTCTGCGCAGCCGGCAGACTCTCTACCTCGGCGGCAGGCAGGACAGCAGGGACTGGCGAGGCGGAAGGGAAATGGTTCGTCGAGGAATCGATGGCATGCCCGCCGATGGGTCTGTGGCTTCGTGCGTCGCTCGCATTCGCCCGATATTTTTTTTTTCAGCGGCGGCGAGCGGTGTTCATCGAAAAGGCGGCGGGGGAAGATCGCTGCAACAAGGACGAGGGTCACGCATGGAGGTCGAAGATGGAGCGGAGGAGAGACAGCACAAGGGGGAGGGGATGGAGAGTGCCGAAAAGAGTGGAGGAAGCGAAGAAGAGAGAAGAGAGAAAAGAAGAAGAAGAAGAAGAAGAAGGAAAAAAGGTCAAGATCGAGCAGGCAAGGCGAACGCGGATTGGTTTTGCCCAAGGCGCGTGCCGATGTAGTAATTAGTAGTGCAGTCTGGGTGCCAATTCCGGCGCTGTGGTTGCGAAGGGTGGAGTTGGTTTTTGGGTGGTGGATTGGAAGGGATTGAGCAGTTGGAGGGAGGGAGAGAGAGTTGAGACTGTTTGGCTGCATGTTTTATTGGACATTATATTGCCTACTAACTAATATGACTATTAAGTTACATTGCCTATTATACCCCTTGCCAAAACAACAACAACAACTACACCGCGAAACTTATCACAGCATTGATGGATATACCCTGAACAGGGCACTCCGGGCCTCTTACTTTTTGCTGTGTGCTTATTAGTGATGACGCCTGCTAATAAGCTCCCACAGCTGAAGTGGACGGACGGGCTTCAAACTCCACCCCACCTCTCCAGCTCCCCCATCAAACCCTTGTCCATTTATTCCATCCATCCATTTACTTACGAGAGCAAACCACCGCTAACAAAAAGCTTCATCCGCAACCTCCATCCTCTTTTCAGCACATGCCCACGATAGAGTTTGCACTTGTACCTGTTTGGCACCCCTGAGAATCTGATATATTACATTATTATATTCTATGCATCCCATGTGTCCAGTCCCCTCGTTGCCACCGGCTAGTTGCACATCGCCATTCCCCCTCACCTAGTCTTATCTCGACTGTCGTGTATCAGTTTGTTGCGAATTGTCAGTGCGCAGAATATAGCCGAGCGTGTTAGGTTTGAAGGTTCTGCTTGTAAACTAAACAAGACTGCACAAGTGCTGCTACCAACATCAATCACAAGATGGATTTACGTAACTTGCATATAAGCCCAGTTGATGCTGATTCACTGTTTGGTGCCGGATACTACGAGTTACGGCTCATGTGAATGAATTCGTGCGACAAACTTTTATCAATATATTGGATATATAGTCCATGTTGGGGCCTTTTTAAACCCATCAATCCACAAAAACATCATGCCATTACGGCACCTTTAAATCGCTGCCCATCCCGCTGTCTTCAAGTTCCATTACCAGTAACCATAATCATACAATGCGTTTTCTCATCCTTGGCGTCCAATCTGGTGGTGCTGGCCTCTCTTTCCGAGGGCTCTCCGCAACGAGTAGATAAGCGAACAAGTAAATCAATTAAGCAAATGTGCCGAATTCTCGGCCTTCACACGAGAACCTCTCTCCCGTCTTAAGCAGACAGGAGGCTCTCTTCTCAGTTGGACTCGTCATGAGGAAGGGTTCGACTGAGACCAGCCTCAGCCCACCACTCGTCTGGGATATCTTCTCTCGCCGCAAGGCTCTGAACGATCCGTCGCATGCCTAGCCATTCCTCATCTCCTGTCTGGGCGCCAGGCCCGCTTCCTGTCGATCCTTCTCGGTTTGGTCGAAGCCGGTCAGCTCTCCTTTCATCTTCTGACCCTGCCGCTGTGACCCAGTTGGGGGTTAACAGCAGGGCGTAGCCGTTTGTCCGCGAATCGTGCAGACTGTGGCCAGGCCGCTCGGATTGAGACTGGTCGGATAGTAGTCCGTCCAAGGGTCCATCTGATGGTCCATCCAGATTATACTCTGGCACCGCTGGGCGTCGTCGAAAGCGGCGGCGAAAGTGGGTAATGCTACGCATTGCAGCAGGGAGCTGAGAGTACCACTCGTCTTCTTCATCGTCTGATATTTCGTGTCCCGATTCGCAAGCCCCGTCCACAAGTTCCTCAGGCAGGCCTGGAGCAGATGCAGGCGCGTTGGACGGGCCTGCGCTTTGAGGTACTGCTGCAGATGCAAATGAAGAGCTTGCGCTAGGTGGTTGTGGATCGGGAGTCAGTGTCGAGAGTAAAGTATCCCAAACCTCTGGGCTAAGGCTTCTGTCGCGGTCCCCCAAACCATCGGCAGCATGACTTCGCTGACGATTGCGCCCGGCTGCATCCCCAGCCATTACAGTTCGAAATGCTCGTGCCGTGTTTCGGCGCAGAGATCTAAACGTTGGCAGAGCGTAGTGTTGTACGGCATCATCATTTGATGTCGTCGCCGACTCGCTCTGCAACCTCTCAGACCCGGCCCGCGTCGGCCGGTAGGGGGGTGTGCCGATATGGTATGAGCGACGTCCTAGGGGGCTACGATTGCGCCTGGGATTGTCTGGTGCAACCTTTGCGGGTGATGATTAGCGACCTATCAACATTCAAGTTCCGCAAGGGAGAAACTTACGATGCGCGCACGCCGCGGTCGAGGTTCAATATTCCCCCAAAAGTCTCCATCCGGTGGAGGTTCATCATTCCGTGGTGAAGAAGGAGTCCCGATGTTATGCCAAGTACCGCCAAATAGGGAGCTCATCCGGTCTTCTAGATGGCGGTCACTCCGAGGTGGCCTAGAGGTGACATCTCGGGGCACCTCACCTGCGGACCCAGGAGGTGGTTCGTCGTAAATGGGCGGGATGATATTCCTAGTGCCCTCGCCGACACCCCATGGAGGATACCGTCGCGTGGAACGAGTGTGTGGCTGTTGAAGGGCTACGATGCGGACGCCGGAGCGTCTGTTGGGATTCCGTCGCTCGCGTGTTTCTGTCTGGGTTGAGCGCCTGATGGCAGAGCGAGACGGAGAGAGGACGTCGCGCTTTGGCGCATCCTTGTGAGGGAGGTCGGTCTCAACAGGTGCAACAAAGAGTCTGATGTAGCGACGAATGGTTAGCTGGGGCGGCTGCGACGCGAAGAGAGAGCGCGGGGGACATTAATCGAAAGCGACAAAAGAATGACAAGAGCAGTAGAAAAGAGGGATGAAATGTCAGCAGCAGTGAATGCGATGCCTCGTTTGTGCGGCGGGATGGTCTGGTCTTGAAGCTGAGCCAGAGGCAACAGGCGCGCCGCGATGCCAAGTGACGATGCACATGACGCGCGAGCAAACATTGATTGCAGTGGAGAGACTCGAGGCAGAAGCAGAAATAAAAGCAGAAGCGGCGAGGGCATGGGGCCGCCAATGGTCCAAGCAGCGGCAGAAATTGAAACTCACGGTCGACCCATAGCGCATATGGATGATTTGCAGATGATTTGCAAAGGAGCGATATCCGAGATGCGGACGATAAGATTGAATGGGCAAAAGTCGGACAGACGGCGCTTGGCAACTAGCAGCGAAACCCTGGCGATCTGTCGCCGCGGAAGCTGGTTGGCGGCGGTGGGAATTTTTTGCTGGAGAGAAAGAGAGCTGATCGACTTCAGCCTGCAGATGGGATGGAACCAAGAGACGAAATGAGAGCGAGTGGCGGTGGGTTGATGGATCGGGAGAAGGCGAAAGCGATGGCGAAGGAGAAAGGAATGCGAAGAGAGGCTGAAAGATGGAAGAGGCTGCGGAAGCGGGAGATGCGACTGGGCTGGACTGGACCTGGACTCGGTAGATGTGTGGCGCGGAGGGCGAATTGAACTTACGGCGGCATGGCGGTTTACTGGCTGTCCAGGCACTAATGCTGCTGCTAGCGGATCGCTATTAGAGGCTAAAGGCTAAAGTCAACTGAGCCACAGTTCAAAGCATGATCTGTGTGTGGCTGGTGCGTAATGCGGGCTGGGCTGGGCTTGGTGGAGATGGTGTGAGATTTTGCCGTGACAGCGACTGATAAACTGATAATGCCCAGCACTTCTGCCATCTCGAACCCGATTTCGCTCTGCTGATCAGCATCACTCGCGTCTCCTCGGCGAGGCTCATCTCCTCTATGGCTTCACTCCCCTGATGCCGCCATGCCGTCTGCCAAAGAGGTCAATCGAGCGCTGGCTCGCATCAGAGCCGCCATGCCCGCCGAGAAAAAGGTGGCATCCGCAAATCGCAACATCCGCCTGGGCCTGGAGCGCATCAGCCATGTCGTGCCGCAGGAGCAGGGCTGGCTAGGCGTCCATGTTGGCGGCACCAATGGCAAGGGATCCGTCTGCAACTTGTTATCGGGGCTCTTCAGGCTGTCCGGCATCAGCCATGGCATGTACACGTCGCCAGCAATGCCCGAGAGGCACAACGGCGTCACCATCAATGGCCTTTATGTCAACCGCCGCATGTATGAGATGGAGGTCAAGCACATTGAGGAAAAGTTCAAGCGCATTGCGTCTGGCTGGCGGTTTGCCGCTGGAGAGGACCCGGGAAATCTGACGCCTTTTGAGCTCGAGACTGCTGCTGCCTTTCGCGTCTTTGACAAGATGCATGTCAACTATGGCGTTGTTGAGGTGGGAATGGGCGGTGCTACTGATGCAACAAACATCATGAAGCAAAAGTCAGTCACCGTCATCACCAAGATCGATCTCGACCACCAGGAGTACCTCGGCAACACCATCGAGGAGATTGCCAAGGTCAAGGCCGGCATCATGAGACCCGGCGTGCCCTGCATTGTCGATCATTCTAATCCCAGCTCCGTCATGAAAGTGCTTCGGCGCCATGCGAGCAGCATTGGCACTCAAATCAGCCCGTCGTGGAAAGGACAATCTCTGCTGGAAAATCTTGATACTGAACGGTTCAAGCTGGAGGACTATGAGAAACAAAATCTTCTCTGTGCAACTCTAGCCTTCCGTCACCTGTTCCCAAATCTTGAAATCGACGTTAACAAACTACTGGCTATGGAACCTTTCCCATCTGGACGAAAAGAGCAAGTCAAGGTGCTTGGTCTCACCGGCGGAACTCGTCAAAACCCTGTCCTTGTAGACGGCGCTCACAACCTGCTTGGTGCCGAAGCGCTGGCTTCTTATGTGCAGCACCAAGTTCGTCAAGGGGATCAGCCAGTTTCATGGGTCATGGGATTATCAGCTAGCAAGTCCAAACCATTTGCCAAAGTCATATCTGCCCTGGTACAACCCCAAGACAATTTCGCCTTTGTTGAATATCTCCCTGCTCCTAACGAGCCACCCCCAGCTTCTGCTGAGCTCGGCCGTGAGATTGGAAGGTCTATTGTCAGTAACGAGTCTCAGCTATACGATGGCGACCCCCGGATCAGCGCTGGCGTGCAATGGGCTTGCGAAAAGGCGGGAGAAGGCCCGGTTATAGTAACGGGCAGTCTGTATATGATTAGAAACTTTTACAACATGGAAGGCGTTGAGCCCAAGAGAAAGACCAAAACAAGGAGGCCGGGTGCCGCGCAACTATGGCATTACATACAACTATCGCAGGAAAGAGCGCTGACTCCCGAGGAAGCCCGAGAGTTCAAGCGAGCGCGGAGACATTGGCATCTGTCGCCTGTACGAAACTCTACGTTTAGAGGGGTGAAATACGGCGGCCTACCCAGGTCCGCCCGCGTTCCCGAGAGGATACGTGCCCTGCAGCAACAGTCAGAGTTCCATAGAAAGCAGGCTGAAGGATACCGTAGCGCCATTGATAGCATGGAAAAGGACTTGGCAACAGAATCAGCCGATGTCGCTGCCACCGAGTCTTCTGATTTCCAAATCAGCCTGGAAACCCTCAAGCAGCGACACCAGGAACATCTCGGCGCCTACAACAGCGCCATGTTCAAGCTCCGTGGACATGTTGCTTCGCCTGAGAAGAAGTTGATGAGCTACGAGGAAGTGTTTGGACGGCCGCCGAAGCCCAAGGTCAAAAACTTTCCCTTTCCTGAAGATGATGGGAGCATAACTTCTGCGAAACCACATGAAGATGTAGCTGCTTCGCCTGAGGTTAGCGCCAGTTCTCCATCCGGCAAAATCCCTGATGAGGAGAAGAGGGCAGAATTACAAAGTTCACGATTTGGAAAAAGGACCCGTCGTGACGACAAGCGGAAGGACAAGACTGTGACAGAGGCGCATGACCTTGTCGACAAGCTGACAAGAGAGCGTGTCAGCACTGAAGCTGGATCGAGCAACAAGCCCTGAATAGGGGAGACTGACCTGAGGAAAAGGTCGGCGTGTATTATATATAGATGAGGAGAAGGAAAAGTAAATCGGCTCAAAAGGGATATTGTGGGAAATACATAGAATTGGATTCCATCTTGTTTATACACTTTGACTACCAAACATGTTTAACCGCTGTTGGTGCAACTGTTCCGCGAGCTTATAGATATTCTTTTATACATCTACTGGATCAAGTTATTTCTGCTAACGATATCTACTAGATCTACCTATGTCTGTTAGAGATGGATACATCTTCATATTTTTCATTCCAAGTCATTTTCCTCCAGGTCCTTTTCTCCCTCGACTTCCTGTCCTTCGACTCCTTGTCCCTCGACTCCTTGTCCCCAATGACGCAGCTGAACATAGTTCTTGTCACGGTACATGTCCGGCTGTGATTTCATCTCATCACCATCATAACCGCCATCATACTGATCATCATAATATCCTTCATCGCGACAACCATTGCGGTAGTCGTCATCACTATCCTCATAACCACCATAATGATCATCATAATCGCCGTTGGCTTCATCCGTCTAATAGATTGGTTTGGTTGCTCCACAGATCGCGGCAACGCGAAGCAAGTCCCACGAGAGCTGTAGGATCTCAAAGCTCGGGGGCTCAATCTCAAAGTGTTCACTAAGCTAATGGATCTGACTGGTTTCCATGCCCAAACCACTGTAGCTGTCAAAATGATGCCGTCCCCATCCATTAATGCCCTTGCCCCTGCCATCGGACTCTGGAATATCGGCTACCTCCATCACCTCCCAAATGTCCATATCATCTGTAAAGAGTTGTGCTGGTTCCAGTTTGCTTTTCTTTAGCCAGTGGAACTGGATTACAAGCGAGTTGGTATTCGTCTTGCGCAACGGCTTGAACGCAATCCTCCCGCTCTGATACCACCAACTTAGTTGTCGATTAAGGGATAGCATATTTTGGGGGGATTTCAAAAAAACGGGATCTCGAATTAGTGGAGAGAGACGAGCAGCTGTCTCAGTACCCCAAAAGGTGTCTATCATAGATAAAAGATTGGGAGAATGAATCGTATTGGGGAAGATGGGAACGGCTTCGGGATTCTCCATGCGGGAGATGCTACATTTCCTCCTGTCTCGTTTCTTGCACTAATAGAGGTTAGAGAGATATTTATTGGATGGTAATCAATGTTAGCACTTACAAGATTCATTGAGTGCAAAAGGTGCGAGTTGTCTTCACCAGAACCTCCGACTTGTCGCGCTTGTGCGCTTACAACTAGAGCGGAAAGGCATCAGCATAAAAGTTCTCATTTAACATGCTGTTATAGGTTTTGCGGCTCGGCAACATACACTCCTGTATTACAGCAACAGTGTTACGGCACTGCTCAATAAACTCTTGGACCTCAGCCGTGTTCTTCTCTTGAGCGTTTCTCTCCAGATTATCAAGTCGGGATCGCAGCACGTCAATTGGGGCAACCATGAACAGTGCGAAAACTGTCATACTTGGTACAAAGGATAGCTCATGCCGTTTGATGTTATCCTGTAGCCGACGGAAGAGATCAATTCTCATCCAAAGACCCGGAACGTAATCCAAAACGGGTTCTGCGCGTGTACGCCAATAAGTTTCAACGAGTCCCGAGATGAGCAGCGGCCTTTCCCTGGCTAAGTTGAGGAGCGGGCCAAGTTGGAAGTATTCGTTCAAATATAACATTTTCTCCATCTGTTGCTTATTCAATCTTGACGCCAAGGCCTTTCCAAGCTGGTCTTCCATGATGTGAAGCGAGATTGAGATGGGGTCCAAGAGAGAAAGGAGAGGTGGTTGAAGTAGCCCTGGGTTTTGCGGTAGAAATTCACTATAGTCTATATGTCTCGTCGTGAGTTATATATATATTCACTCCGTAAACTTTAATGTCAAAAGTGGAAAGTATCTTGAAGACTCTTGGAACTAAGGACAGAAGCTTTTTGTTCACGCTGAGGACTGGAAGTATGTTATGTAGTCTCCGCTACTATCTCTTACTACATCTACCACTTTCTACTATCTCTACTATCTTCTATCTCCTTCCACTATATGGTATCAAGTAAGAATGTAGCTATAGAAGTGATTGCCATCACTGTTATTACTTGGGTTGCTGACCATCCAACCTCTAATCAACACCTAGATGGCATCATGCGAGTATAATAGATACAAGACTTTAAAAGATAGGATACGAATTGTCTGTCTTCTACCGATATCAACTTTCCAACCAGAACGGATCGCACGAATGAGGCTTTGTCCATATCAATGGTTTTGGCAAGATCAACTAACGACCCTTTTGTCAGCATTATAAGCCTCCATCTTCTCTATGAATCAGATTATCTTGTCCATTTTCTCTTCCATGGCGCCAACTCTTTCGTCCAAACCCGCCAGTCTCTTGTAGGTGCCCGACTTCATCTCGCAAACGGCCGACTCCAGATGCGTTTGCACATTGTCGAGTTGAATCTCGAAACGGGTTCCAAATTCCATAAATGGATAATTATATCCTACTTGATGAGACTCAAGGTTCATCTCAGACCCTCGAGCCCCCGGATAAGGCCGTTGAGCATCTGTAAGCCTCTGAGTGTCATCAATATCCCCAAAAGCTGCACACGCCGATCGCTTTTTGTTAGCGTTCAGTCTTTCTGCGAGAGCCGCTTCGAGATCTCGATTTAGTTCGTCCTGTATCCTTTGCATCCGCTGATTCACTGTTCTCAGCATCTCATGAAACCGCGTCTTGATGAATTGCATAATCCCCTTGTCGTCTGCCGAGTCCGTCACGAATCTGCCGTGTAGTTGATCTAACTGGGGTTTCAGATCTTCTACGTTCTCGTCGATATAGTCCATAAGTCGTCTCTCCATGTTGTCAAAGTTCTCCGTAAAAGGCTTCTTATGATGAAGTAATTTACTAGACGTTTGCTTAACAGTAATTGTTGGCCCCTGGATTTGACCTTCTGAATATCGTCGTGGTGGCTAGTGAGCTGATGAACGCCTTGACTTTGTCCTGAGGGACGAATGTGCAACTGATTGGGTATATACATCTGCAAGCAACACTTTCATTAGATTCTAGACCATTAATTTTCTATTCTATGTAACAGCAAGTTTCGAATCTTGTCTCTAATAGGTATCTTGAACGGCATTCACTGCCACGGTCGTGGCGCATCTTCAACCAACGTTTCCTTCTCGCCAACTCCCTCCGTCACTAATTTCCCCATAGTAGAGTCATCCTTTCCAACTTTCTCCTCAAAAACTCCCTGCCATACTCCCCACGGATTCCTCTTTGCCCTCTTCCCCGCCAATTTCTCTCCTCTACCATGTGGATCGGCCGTCCAGTCATCCACTGCCTGTCCCACGCCCTTTATCGCATCTTCATTCTCTCCGCTCGCCATCCCAGGCGGGTCAATACCAACAAATGCAGTCTTTTCAAGAGGAAATCCAATGGCAGCGCAATGACCGTCGATGAGTCGGAACTTCTTGAAAGCGTGGGATACAATGGTTAAAAAAGCAGGCCAAGTATGGAAGCGCGCGTAAAACAGAGTAAAACTAAAGAGTACATTGTGGTAAGAGTCCAAGGCGCGATCCTCTATTAGAATTTTGGACGAATTGACCAAGTCTTGCGAGGAGTTGATGAGGTTGAAGTAGCCGTGGTTGGAGGCGATGTTGGCATAGCTTTGGGCCTCACTCAGAGCTGTTTCTTTTCGTGTTGGGCCGCTGCAGATGCATCAGACTGAAGTTTTGGTCTTGATATCATTTTATATCACACTGCTTACCCCGAAAATGCGAGCACGGCATTGTCATAGTCCTGCGCAAGGCATCGGATGCCTGCTTTAATGTGCTCAATAAACGTGTCCGTTTCGCCGCGCTGAAAATCGGCGATGAGCCATTCGTCTTCGTTGGTGCCGTTTGAGGGGCCGCCGGTCCAGATGCCGTGGCAGCAGACGATGATTAAGTGGTTTGGTAAGGCCATTGTGAATGTCGAATTGATTGGATTTGAATTGGCGGATTGGTGGGAGAAAATACTAAGCGTTGATTATCTGAGGAAGAAGCTAAATCGATTCGGCGATCCTGCATGAAGCTGCGCTTGTTCCACCTCACTCTGCATAGAGCATCCGACATGCTGGAGATGTTTCACATCAAATTTATACACCGAATCACAGAAGCTGTTTTTATAAACATGTCTTTCAACTAACATTTTTATCACTTCATTTCAATACCGAGGTACCAGCGATAGTATCGGATACTAGACCTACGTAGCGATAGTAGAGATTGACAAAGACAATAGCGATACATAGCTGCAGGCCTGGAAGAATCAGATGTCTGTTATTTATCCATGATGTCTATTCGATAGGCCTATTGTTGCGCCCATAAATGCGTTGCATCATAACATCTCCTGGCTGTCCTTGACAACTCATTTATTACAAAAGTAGGTGTAGCAAACAAACTTCTCTGCATATACATCCCCGCGGCCGCAATCCCCAATCTTCCCCCTCGAAGATTCGTTATGAAAGCACTGGCCCTGTGCCGAGCCGTCTCCATTGTGAATATAGAACACGTACGTTCCATCAGACTGCTTGTAAAAGTCGAGATTCTTGGCCCCGCAGAGATTGGCGCCACGCATCGACATGAAGGATGAGCCAATAGCACCGTAGAGCTTGTTGTTCTTATCGAGGGCATATTGAATTCCACCGCAGTTGTATTTATTCGACGGAACTGCCAGCTTTTCCGTGTTGCCCGGCATTTCGACGATGTGGAAATCTGCAGAGGCAAAACCCGCGGCCCATAGCGACAGGACGAGAGCGGAAGGCGAGAGAAACTTCATTTTTTAGGCGCGTGTCACGAGAAGTATAAAACTAGTTAAAAGAGTCTGATGGTAGTGGCTTGTTGGTCTAATGCTGGAACGGAAGAAGAAGAAGAACAGACGTCGAGAGGGTATAAAAGCAATGGCCGTAACTGGTGACTGTTACGTATTTGCTTCCGTTCTAATTACTTCCCATTCAGATGACTCTGAGAATGACTTACATATTGCCCGAGTTAGGCGTCTAACCCGTTAGCTTCAATAAGTTCGACCACTCTTCTTGTTACTCCTTAGCCCATATGGCATTTGGTCAGAGGAGAAGTTCTTAGGTAACCGACTCTGAATGGTTGGTTAGGCGATTCCTCCTTTCTGAAATGCCAGTAGAAATTTTGGAGTCGACATTGCCGTCTCGTTCTAGCATCGTCTCGTACTTATGGTATACATGAGACTCTTTCCTTTGTATATCTTCCTATATAGCTCAGGGATATCTTCTTGTACCCAATACGTGGCGGCACCGCTTTGTAGGTCGGCTTCGACGGTTTCGCCGTGGCTGTCCGCTCTAATACAGCTCTTTCCCGCTTCTGCTTCTGCTTAGATCAAGCATAAATTTAGGTATATCTCCATGGATGGGGTCTGCGGCGGGATTATCGAATTCTTTCAGTCCCATTTCGAGGAAGGGAGACATGTGTTCAGGTGTCACCGCTTTCTCCCGTCACAGGCTGTACATTGGAAGCCGGTCGGTCGAGCAGGAAAATTCGCCGATCCGAAGTTCGTTGTAAAATGCGGACCGTTTGTCTAGGCTTAAGCAAGAGTAGTTCCAGAGCGTTTTTGAGCGAAAATAGTATAGCGAGGGCGTTGGCCAGAGTTGATGGGAATAGCTTCCTCCGCTTCGTGCTTTTATTAGAACTCATATACGAGCTTACTTGATTCCTTTGCTGATCCTTCATGGAAGCCAAAAATATGCATGAAATAAGAGCTAGACAAAGTTCAGCTCACGTCAATGGGTTACTCGAAGATATATATACTAGCGGCTACTATTACGTATTCTTTCCGTAATGTTTGGTAGTGTTATATGGTTCTGATATATATATTAGCGGCTACTATCACGTAATCCTTCCAAGATACTTGTTTGAACTTTGGTCTAGTCATTCTATTGAGTTCTACTACCACTTAGAGGCCCTCACATCTCAGTGCTGTATGGAGTAGGGATAGTAGGGATAGCTATAGCTATAAGGATAAGATAGTCTTACAAGCAAGTACCTATGTACTCTGCTCACCAGCCAAGGTGAATGTCGTAGTGCGGCTACTGATGACAGCGGACAAGGGGGGCCGCATTCCATTACGTTAGGTATTCGGAGAAGGGGGAGCATTGGCCACGTTTATTTGACATCACTGCTATAAGCTTGTACTGTGGTTTTGGAGAAAACAGGAAGCTGAAATTATCCGGGAGTGGCAAGCAGGTGTACTAGGAGGAGAGTGAAGGTAGCAAGCCCTGGGTTGACATTACCTCTGTGTGGCGTAGTTAGCAATAATATACCTACTAGGAAGTCATATATGCCACAACGTCTTCATTTGGCTGGAATAGGAAGCATCTTGTTGGTACTTAGGGTCGGTTTGCGGATGCAAGAATGACTGTAGTAGTCAGTGTTAACAGGGCACTGGCTGAAGGCGATCAAACTTACAGTATTGATGGTGCTACTTGGTATCTATTCAACCCTGAAGCTAGAATGGACTCGGGAGATAAGGCTATAGCCGGGATTGAAGGTTTCTGCCCTTATAATACAGAGCGGGCTTAAGGGTTCACTGCGAAGTTAAAAAGAAGCAATCACCGTATGCTTCAACCCACCCGGTAGCATAGTTCAATGCGAGTGTGGGCTTATCGATTGATGCGAGTGAGTTTGAGTGGCGTTGATGAGAATACAAGTATACATCACAGGCTACTCTCAAGGTTTTATTGTTAGGGCAAATCTTAATTCTCTGCTATAAATTCGGCTTCTGTCCTCTCCAGCCTTTCTCAATCATTACTGCAGACCGACTAAAACCCCCCAAAAAGAGACAGGCATCATGTATTCATCTACATCTGAGAGCAATTTGCGCGAGTTAGCAGGGTCTCTGAACGAAGATCAAGTACAGCGACTATTGGAACTACAAGAAAATTGGCAGCTCGACAAGTTCCTCTATGCAGTCAAGAATTGTCCTGAACTTCTCGATCCTGTTCCCACCCGAATTGCCCCTAAAGAGCCCGTTTCACCCTACATTAGCGAACAAAGAATTCGGCAACAGCTGCTGGACAAGATTACTAGGATCGCGCACGAGGTCGATCCAAGCTACGACATTCACATGGCGCTATTTGCGGTCTTGATGGTCGCCCCAGTCGACCATTTACAGTCCAAAGTCGAGATGCTGGAGATGAGCTATCGCGATAACAACCAAACTGCTGTCAAAACCATGCTCACCCAGTGGCGGGAAATAAGTCTGGCCGGTATTCAAGCATGTATGTCTTCCCGAGTCCTGCTTCTAGCGAGTGACTCCGTCTCTGAGAGCCTTGTGGATGGTTATAGGAAGAAACGTCGCCTACTAACAATAATACTCTTTAGTTGCGAATAAAGAAATGCGACGATCAGGGAGTGCTGGCACGGGCTACCATCACCAAGCCTCATCCGTTCAAGAAGTGCCGACAAAATCGCGGCGTCTCTCTCAGGAAAGCCTTTCATCTGACCCAAGAGGTGCTCCCGTCTTATCGCTCACCTCAAAACCCCTCGACCTGCCATCTCCGAACCCACAAGCACAAGGCCTGGCTGACGAGAGAGCGGCATGGGCTGCAAGACTCGTAAGTGCTTCAACAGGCTTTCCCAGCCCATCATTCAACAACGTCCTTCTAATGTCCAGCAGTGCAGGCACCGGGATCGCGAAGTTTGTTGCCTCAGCGTCCAGCCAAACCCTGCCATGGCTCATATTTTCCCCTTGGTTGGTTCGAATCTATCCAGCATCACGGCCATGGTCGACATCTTTTGGGGCACTGATTCGGCTGCTCGGCTCTCAGCATTGATGGCTGGGGATCAAAACATTAGCGAGTCCCCTCAGAATCTGCTCTCGCTCAATCGTCAACTGCACTGGTGGTTCAACAATGGCCGCATGGCGCTCAAACCATTATGGGTGATGGAAGGTGGAACAGTCTGTGTGCAGCTTCACTGGATCGAGCCAGGCCGGTCGACGCCAGATACGAGCATACGTGGTGCCTGTTTCGACGATATATTGAGGCGAGTTGGTAGTTTCCCCAGTTGGCTAACCAATGTTTATTGGTCTTCGGGTGTTCCGCTAAAAACAGGACATACTTTCACTTTTTGGGATTGGGTAGACGAAAGCTATCTCCCAAGCTTCGATCTTCTCCAGCTGTCATGGGATCTTCGTCGTGTTGCTGCGGTTTGTGGCGCATATCGAGAGCCTGAGGATGAGTTGTACGATGATGAGGAAGAGTATTCTGGTGATGATGAAGGACATGATGATAACGAGGATTGCGACCACAATGATGGCGTCGATGTCGATGCTCATCTCGGTAAATAGCAGGAAAACCAGAACGCCCTAATACATCAATGGATGGGGGAGGTTGAGGTGGAGAACGGCAACCAAGGCGAGGAAAAGGCTTCCAATGACACCCAATCCAATCTCTAGGGAATTTGATGTAGATTTTCAGTGATATAAATCTTGCAGAAAAGATTTACGGTTGGCTATATTCTCTCCATAGATGTTGTACCTATTTTATCAGTAGCGAACACATCAGTCACTCGGGAGTGTGTTCGTCTTAAGTACATGTAAATAGGATATGTCTACTAGAGATGGATAGATCTTCTAAAGATAGATAGACCTACTGGAGATGGGTAGATCTACCTAGTAGTATAGAAGTAAATCCATCTCTGGCACCTAGAATCTTTCCAGAAACAACAATACTAAGACATTCCCCAAGTCACTCAACTCCCGTCTATCCGGTATAATCATGACTTCAAGCATCAAGTAGCAACTCACATTCCGCATCTACATCTTCGCTCTACTCTCACTCTTCTGCCTCGGCCCCTCCGCAACAACCCTCATCAAAAAAGCAACCGCATCATTCACCATATCCGCCGCAAACCTGTGTCCCACGCCCTCATACACCCGATTATCCACCTCCACGCTCCCATCAGCATACCACCCGTCCACCGCATCCTTCAACACCCGAATAAACGGCTCCCCCTGCGCATACGGCACCAAGTCATCAGCGCCTCCAGAGCACAAAAGCAACTTCTTCCCCCGAACGCAGCCGTCCAAGATCTTGCGCAGCCGGTCCTGCTCAGCTGATGACAGGGGCAATGAGGGAATGGGATTCGTCCCGAAGAGGATGCCCTTGGGGTCGCTCTTCCGAATAGTAGCGATGGTGTCTGGTGGGAAATACTTGCTACCCCAGAAACCTCCCTCGCCATGTTCCAACTTGGATGCCGCAGCACGACTCCCCAGCAAGCCTATTTCTATCATGTTAGCATCTCGAGGCTTGTCCATCTCTTCCAATTCGGTTTCGCATAGAATCCTCACTCACCCGCAAGATCAGGACATCCAACAACCACCACAGCAGCATCCATCCTCTCCTCCCCAAACCACGCCTGCCACGCCGCATGCCCTCCCAAACTCCACCCCAAACACACATGAGCATCCGTCTCCCTCCCCAAATACCCCGCCACCAGGTCCATCAACCCACTCGCATCCCCCGCACCCGCCTTAACCAGGCCCAGCATATCAATCGCATGCTGCTCATTGCCCTCGTCCCACGCCTTGTTCGCCAGCTCGCTCACCATCCTCGTCCCATGATTAGGCATGTCAAACACCAGCGCCACGAGCCCCCGCTGCTTCTGCTTCGGGCTCTGGTTCCAAGAATGGACGGCTCGCCGCGCAATATCGTTCATGACGCCCTTAGACCGCGTCCGGGGATGGAGAAGCCACAGGCAAGTTACTGGTGCCGGAGCCGGGGGGAGCTCTTGTAAGCCGTAGATGTCGACCAGGAGGCCGGCCATGGGCTTGGTGATGACAGAGACATTGGGAGGGGGCGGGAGGCCTTTTGTTGCGTATTGGCGCTCTTTGGAAGCCATTTTGAGTGTAAGTAAAAGGCAGATTCAAGAGGGAGATGGAAGAAAGGGATAGAAAAAGAATAAAAGAGGTGAAGAGTGAGAAATGGGGTGTAAGTTGCGTCTTGCTTGGAAGAGGAACAGATCGATGGATGAATGTTGATCAATTGAGTTAACCGATGGCTTTAGCCCGCTTATGGGCTAGTCGGTTGCATTCTCCATCACGAAATAGTGCCCAACTTGGCAACTGCATCTCCATACCGTCTAGCTTAGCCTAGATAAAATATATTAATCGCGATCCCTCGCAATCCCGGTGAACCTCGGCAGACCAAATCAGGACGACAAACAGTCACTAGGTAATACGTCTAACATACAGATCCTGTAACAAAATAGCAGCTTCAAATAAGGTATTCATATAGTGCTGTCTAACAAGATAACAAGAGCATCGAAAAAGGATTTGCTCGCTCTATATGCTCCCCCCTTGTAACAAAGGTAGTAGCTGAACTGACGAACTGCAGAAGTCAAGGTGCAACATCTCGTTTCTCGTGGTGAAGCAGATATTTCGCATGTTTCCACTTCCGTACATGCAGTAATCCGCCCCTGATTCGCTCTTTGTAGGTAATGTCCTCCTTCCATGGCGATTGGTGGTAGTCCCCTCCTTTTTCCCATCGGTCAAACGGCCAACTGTGGTTCAAGCCGCGTTCCTTCTCCTGTTTTGATTTCTCCTTTTTGTTTCTCCTGTGCCACTTCAATCCACCTTCCAATGATCTTGGTCGTCTGTGCTGAGCGTAAGTTCTATACCGTACAGGACCATCGTCAGTCCTACGTTGATCCATCGCCAAGTGCTGCCGCCCACGTCTCCGCCCCTGAGCGTCCATCCATCTGGCCCCTCGCTGGTCGAAAAGTGTTGTAACAGCAAGCTGGTGTAGACAGCTATCAAAATTGTCGGCGAAAAGTAGCTGAGAATGCTGAGGAACATTGACGCCGCTTCTGACTCATCCCAGTCAGGCTCGTGCAGCATGGCTCGGGCACCCAGGTCCCGTACCGAAGGAATGATACGAGTGGCGCAGTAGAAGACGAAGAGACGGTATGCGAGGGAGATGATGACGGACGGCGTAATAGTCTGGAAAGCGGCGTACAATAGGGCGAGCGAAGAGTGAAGAGCGCCAGGGAGAGTGCTAACTATGTGAAGCAAGGTTGAGTACGAGGCCATGATGATGGGCGGCAGCGGAGGGATTTCTGGCTGAGACGATGCCTGGTCCTCGGCCGAATAGGTGCCGTCAGAAGGAAGGTAGTCGGTAAAGATCTGGTAGACACAGAGCACGACGTAAGCAAAGAGAAGCGATGACTCGACAGGGCTGCCGCGACCGCTGCCAATGCCGTAGGCGCAGAGAAACACGGCCGTGGTCATTGTGGCACCAATGAGCGTGGCATCAATGTTGCTGATTTGGGGAAACTGAGCAACACGCCACAGGAAATAGACAGCGCTGGCAATGATGGAGCCGGAAAACGCAAGCAAGAAGATCTGCAAGATGTGACAGTTAGCTACCGACATGATATCGCTATTAGTTTTTTTGTTTTCATGGGATCGCACTCACCACCCAGGTATCGCTCCTCCCTCTGTTGACCAGCCATCGAGTAATCTGTCCTGCCGCCTGGATCACGAGCAGCGTGCAGAAGCCCTCAAGCAGCTGGAAGACGGGGCCCGAATAGCGCAGCACGTTGTCCCACGAGCCCAGCATAACCGTCTCCAGCACGCCCTCCTTGCCAAACATCCACTCGGTCCAGCTTGTGCTCTTGGAGTGGAAGACGCCGTCAAAGGTCCTCTCCACCCAGCTCGCGTCATCGGCGTCCACGGCGAACTTGCCCAGCGCCCAGATCAGCAGCGACGGGATGACGAACCATTGCGCCAGCCTCAGCAGCGACACAATGGTCCAGCGGATGCGCGAAGTCTCGGGCGTAGCCAGTCGGATGGCCGAGTAGAAGATGTAGAAGATGGACAGGCTCAGGCTGTAGGCCAGCCCGCTGTCTCGCCCGCCCACATCGAAGGCGACGGGGATGGACAGGACGATGGCGAAGAGGAAGATGCTGCTGAAGAAGATGCTGAATGGCCACCACATGAGTGCGGCGGGGGGCGACAGTCTCGCCGCGGGGGGAACGAAGCGCGATGCTGTTGTTGTCTTGTTTCTATCTGTCGTTGCGGAAATCCAAAAGAAAAGCCAGCAAACGAAACGCACTGCTTCTTCCCCGGTTTTCGGTGCCGCCGCGATGCGAAGATGACAATCCCCGAGATGCAGTCGCCCGGAATCGCTCCCTCACCAGCGGCTACTCATCTGTCTTGCCCGGCTTGCCGTTTGCACTGTCGTCCTTTTGTCCAGGAGGTGGGAGATGCAAAAAAGAGCGCAAGGCGTCCCCCTTTTTGGTTCTTCTTCTGCTTCTTCTCCCCGAGTCGTTGTTCGTCTGCAAAAAGCGCGAGCCAGAGCAGCTCCGATTTCCCTTGCCCACTACCCCGATATGATTTTTTAGCTCGTATGACAAACCAAAAGCTTGTGAAGTGTCCAGACTTCGGAGCGGTTGCTTATCCTTATCTGCACGTGAGCGACGTCGCAATGTCGCAGCCACATGTGTCCCTTGCACTCCTAAGATGATAATGGTTGAATTCAAGGGCGCGGTGAACGAGAGTGAAGAAAATATCGTGTTGGATTTATATGGACGACGTAAAAAGTTATGTGCTAGAGGCTTGGAAGAAACGACGGCCCAAGGCTGCGATGGCATTAATAGGTCACGTCACATGCTTGGGGATCAGCTCTGCGGATGACGACTGTGGCGCGTTTGAGTGACCAGACACTAGCCACAGGGCAAGGAAAAGTTGGTATTGAGACGCGCATTTGCATCAATGATTTGAAGATATAATTAGACTAGATCTTGGCTGTTTGATGTGGTATCGACGATCCAGTTTTGCTATCTAGATTTATTCGGTCATGAATGGCCCGAATAAGACGCTTTCGTGAGAGTTTAGCCACAGTCTTTATTAGCGGGCTGGAACACACCCGACTATATAAACTCTAGTACGGAAGATCGCAACCTAAACCCATACACGTCTAATTAATATCTGGCTACTGATAGAGATAAGAGGTAACATCGACGAGTTTGAGTTTTCTTCTATCAAAATTAAATTAAAAAGAGCTATCTTATCGCTAATACGTGTTCAGAAAGAAGCCTTATCTAGATCATGTCTATCCATAGGTATATCCATCCCTTTTTATAGGCAGGTATCACGGTACCAGGCATAAATGCACCGACACCAGCAATAACAATCTGAAAGGTGACAAAATTGATCGAAATATCACTTTTACCGTCAGATCAACCATCATCGGTCATTCGTTGACCAACTGACGATACTTCTTTCGGACCAAATTATGCATGAGGCTGCTCCTCATCTTCGTCCCAGCCCTCGCGCTCATCCTTGGGAATCCGAATAATCACACAAACCAGCATCGCTACACCAGCCAGTGCAACAGAAAACCACAAAGCATGTCTTATGCCGCCAATCGGGTCTCCTCCATTCTTGTTCGTGTACCGCTCAATAGTACCAGCGAATCCCAGACCCGTGCTCAAGCCGTACAGCTGGACCGTTCCAACGAGCGATCCCGCCACGCCCTGGAGCCTTCGTTTGACGCTGTTACTCGTGATGATTTGGGCAGCAGTAAAGATGAAATCCGGGCTAAATCCCAAGATAAATAATGCTGGGAATTCCTGCGGCCAGTAAGTCTGATGTGCTGGCATCGTTGCCAGCAGTATACCCGCAACAAGAGCCGCGACCGTCCCAATCGCCATGACAAATTGCGCAGGCAGATATCGTATGCTAAACGCACTCGCGCCGCATGCTATCGTTGCTATGACGGTGAACGTCACAAATCCAGCAGCGTTGAGGAAGTTGGAGAAATGGCGAATCTCAATGTGCCATCGCGTGATGTAGTATAGGAGAATACCCGTGCTCATAAAGGTGAAGAAGGCCGACAGCAGCATTGGCTTGAAAGATGGCGCCGACCAAACCGTAAAAGGTAGGATTGGTTCCTTTGCAAACTTGGCCTCCCATATTAAGAAGAGGGCTATGTGTAGCACGGAAAGGATGAGGAGAACGTAGACATAGCTGACACTCCAGCCTTTGATGGCGGCCTCGCTGTATCGACATTAGCAGATGTTATCAAGGTCGAAGTTGCAGTTTTAATAGATACTAACGTCCATGAATAGTTGAACAAAATCAGGCCGCCGACACCCAAGTAAGATCCTAGATAATCGACCTTGCCGTTCGGATCCATTGTAACCTCTTCGGCCGGTACAATAATGGCAGCGGCTCCGAAAATCACGGCTCCGGCAATGGCACTACATGATCGCCCATCGTTAGCTCTGCTCGTATTGTCGAACCAGGATCCTCTCCGCATCACCGTCTCTCACATACAAGAAGAAGAAGAGCCACCACCAAGGTAGCAGTTGGCCAAAGAAGCCAGGAAACACGGATCCTCCGCCAGCGCCAACAGGGGCCATGGCTCCAAACAATCCAACCCATATTAAGCGACCCATGCCGGGAGGAAACGATGTGGTGAGCAGGGCAATGGCGTTCGGGACGATTATGCCAGCTCCCACGCCGCTAAGAGCCCGCATCACGATGATGGTCTCGACCGTCCGCATGAACCCACATATCAGGTTGAAGAGGATATAAATGATGCTGCCAATGACTAGAATCTTTTTGTGTCCGTGTACGGCGCCAACCCGCCCACCCATGAGAACAAAAGTCGCCTGAGTTAACCTGTTGCGGGAAGAAGACAAACCCTCCTTGTCAGTCACACACGCGTATTTGGCCGACGGCATATACGAGTAAAAGGACAGCTCTTACGGGTACGCTGCAGCAATCCAGATTCCCAGATTAGGGTCGGCCCCCAACTCCGCTGGAACCGTAAAGGCGACCAAAAGGCCAGAGCCGAAAGGAAGAGCCTGGGGCGCTTTGGGTTAAGACGAGAGATTCCTTCATGCATGTAAAATTGGCTCAATGCCCACATACCACAACAAGCTGGCATAGCACGATGCTCAAGGCAATCAAGTGCTTCCGAATTCCCTTATCCCCCTTTACCACATCTTCCCCGGCCGCTTCTATCTGGTTCGTCGGTTCGGCATCGATGGTTGTTGTGCTTTCGCCCGATTCTGGAGTTGACTGCTCGTTCGGTCGATCCACTTTCAATTCCTCATCGGCCGCCATTTGGAAATAAGACCCTTCAGATCACTCCTTTGCAGTTTTTCTTTCCCTTCTCTTTTGTTTCCTTCGCTACATTCACCTAAGAAATGCCGACTACAATCGGTGAGCCACGGGCCAGGTGAGCTAACACCTTTATAAGACATGATTCCATTAACAGAGTTTATGCTTTGAAAGCAATGTATTTGTAAAATACAGCCAATTTGATGACATTTGACCAGGGCGCCGACGAGACTTTCCTCCGAGTGCTACAAGTAAAGGTCTGTGGTGGTGAGATGATGAGTCGGAGGTCTTAGCTAAGTGCTCCGACTTCAACACATCGCCGCCCAATCAGCGACTCAGCAGCGGGACTCGACACAAAATATTGTTCGGTAATGCTCTCCGAGTGTAAGAGTTGTAGAATAATCAGCTGCTAAGGCATAGCTGGCAGTTTGTTCGCTTCATGTTAACAAAGCTGCTCCGAGATCTTTCGTAATAAGAGCCGCGCGCCCCTAAATTCCAGCCCACCGAAACCCCAAAACAGACGCCCTCCGTGGGTCGGACAGCTGAATGTTCGACAATTATATGCCTATCCGCTGTAGTATGGAGTATGTCCAACACGTAACCAGCAGTTTAGAGAGCAGGGGGGTCGGATTGCTTCACGTTGCGCACAGCGAGAAGGGTGGTCGAATGTGCATGCGGCGAAATTTTTCAAAGGGGCCGAAGTAGCTATATATGTGCAGAGCCGCAACATGATGTATTTCTATAAAAAGTCGCTTTATTATTAGAATTTTTCTTCGTTCCCAATCATACAGCTAATGCCTTCAATGGTTGCTTGATTACTCCGTACCTAGCTGTCGGGAATCATGGCTGTAACCACTGCCTCCAACAGGGCCTGTTCGCAATACGCCGGCCCTTTGTCTATGCAAAAGGATATTCCCGTCAGAACATGTATCAGTCGGGATCTAGACAGGCGGATATTTTTGGAAAATGCTTCAGAGGCCGTATGATATCCAGTTGCCGTCTGGCCGTCCAAGATGGAATCCTCTTGTTGTAGGGCCCCAAGGGTTGCCAGGAGGACATCCGGATCGTCGGGGGGTCTGGTGTTCAGGAGTAAGCCTGTTGGCTTGAGGTCCGTGAGCGCAATGGTATCGAAATCGATATATCTCAAGCCGCAAGCTAATAGCCACTGCTCGATCTGGTAGGCATTCAAGATCCGACTCTGCGCCGGTGGAGGAGAACCTTTCTCCGGCGGCGGTATAATATCTCCACGAAACACTCCCTCGACAGCTCTATACTGCGACGTGACGATTCCGTGATAATACTGAGCCACCAAGTAATCGTCAAACTCGGCCGTGGCTAATCGAACAACCTCTGGAGATGAGGGCCTCAAGTACCAGCGCAGTACCATGAGAATTTCCTCGCGGGAACGGAATTTCAATGGGAATCCGAATATCCTATCTACCATCGGGGTAGTAGCCTGCGTATCGCTCAGTATGGCATCATAGGCATTTTGCAACGAGGCTCTGGTCACAATCATACTCAGGGAGTCCTCGGCCGGATACATCTGCAGCATAGTATCGGTGTCGGCACAATCGGCAAAGTCGATGGGCGGTAGGCTCATGAAGCCGTTGCCAAATATGTTTCTGATCTGCGGCGAATGCCATCCGGACAGCGGGTTGTTGTGTTGAACGCCTGGTTGAGGTACAGGCCGGGGCTGATTAAAGGCATTGAAATCAAGAAACATGTTGTCTACGGCGGGTGGTTGAGGAAGCTGCCCGTTTCCGTGGAAGCCTTGCTGGATAGCAGCGTTATCAGGGCTGGAGACGGGACTGGGGCCAACAACCTTGATGGTGGGTGGACTGTTATCAGAATTGTCCTCCAGATCATTGTTGCTGCCCTGGCACAGAAACAGAATGCTGTCGGTTGCCGTCCTGAGCTTTGAAATGAGAGCAGGATCCCGACTAATGAGCGGTGACTGAAGGATCCCGTTGGTGAAGTCGAGAAATGTGGAAGCCATCTGCTCAAGGGCGCCCTCCATATGGATCAAGTTCTTCTCATAGTTTGCGTGGGCTGCTTGACGCCGTAGCCGAAATAAGCGCTGGGCTTTGCGATTCCGCTGCCGCCGTTTCTGTTGTTGGGTTGGCGAGTCAGTCTGCGTTGATCCGAGTGTGATTGTGATCATGCATGAAACAAACCTCCAGGCTTTCGCCATTCTCCGGTGAGTTGTTTTGTGGTTTTGGCTCTGCCCGCCGTGCGCTGCGTCGTGGTGGTTTCTCTGAAGACATCGTGAAGTTGTAGTTTATCTGGTGGCGAGAATCAGGAGGTTGATGGTTTCCAGTTTAATCATCCAGTTGCAGCCGTCGTCTTGGCCACCAACTCTCCTAAACCATGGCCTTAAGTAGTTCAGTTCCTGATGCATCCGCCCAGCGCTTTTATGCCTTATGCACATCCCATCAGACGATTCCGACGGCTCGAGTCGCTATCAAGGCCATGCTTTTGCTTACAAAATACACTGAGATTCGCCGAAAGGATTCTGCCAGAATTAAAGGTGATGCTTGTTTCTGACAAATACGGGCCAGCTGGCGGAGACTATTCCCTTCCGGGCCTCGTATAAGCATCTACCGCCAATCTCTTCCTACGGCGGCATATTTTACACCTATCGTAGAAGCAACCAGGCCGAGGCTGTACTGCTAGTATAATTGCCTTTTTAAGCTAGAAGATGACTCTCGTATCATCTCCATGATGGAATTTCAGGACAGTTTCGCCTCCAACTATAGACTTTATCCGAGGGGTCTCGGATAGTTAGTCAGGTAACCCAAGCGGCAATCCCGCGGCATTGACAACAAACTCTACGAAACAGAGTAAAATCCTGCAAGTTACTAGGAAAATGTACATTGTTCAATGAGTCAACTACCTAGTATCTAGCAGGATTTGAGATGCAGTCAACCGAAATGTCACCCAGGGTAGCCTATAACCACCAAGCCCAGCGTATCATTGGGCAGCGGTTGCTCCGTGGTTTAGTAATCATAATTCAGTAAATCGTACCCTCATGATTCATGAGGACGCCGAAGAGCCTTGCTAGCTTTGAAAGACTCTCAAAAACGTCTGTAGCAATGCTAAAATCTTATTTATAACGTTGAGGTTAAAAACTAATCAGATGCATTCCAAATTCTGCCGAGGATCACCGATCCGCTGAACCGGCCCCAAACCGGAGCGATGGGAAAATTTGTCTCACACTCCGTATATCTAAACATGATAGGAAAGTGTTTCTACCACAGGCAGGCAAACATACGTTACGTGGACTTCATATTTAAGCATTCGTATAGAGTCGTGCCTTTCAGAGCCTGCCTGTGATCACGATGTAGTTCCATTCATATGCCTCCTAGATAGTAAACATCAAATATACCGAGTCAAGCACACTTGCTATACACATCAACCTTAGCCATATATATCTAGCTCTGCACAAAGTCCCAATCTTAGTTCTGACATTGCATTTCTACCCAATTGTATTATCACAAGCCAAATTTGTCCTCAAACATCATGGCAGGATCCGACCCTCCAGGCTGGAAATAGGAATCTCCACACCCTTTCTACATCTTTTGGCCTACTCTGACAAATAAGATAATCGTCGATACTTACGCCATATCAGCATGTATTACTTCCATCCTGCCGTGGTTTTCAGTTCCAATAATTATCCGGCTTCGTGTTTGATTCCGCGGAGAACCAGTCTCGTCAGGGGCGTCTAAAGTTCTGAATCCTCTACCAGATTTAGCTCCCTTCGCCGCGTATTCGACGATCAAGAGACCCCAGTCTGGCGGCTAGCTAGCCCATCCCAGCCCGGCTTTTGGGTTACTTGTAGATAAACCTGCCCATGGATGACTCGAGTCTGGACCGCTGTCTCACTGACAGGAGCATACTACTGGTGGTAGTCTGCGTGGCCATGTAAGACTTGCATAGAGGAGGTTCCATTGAATGTGTAACATTGTATTAAGTTGCCACTGGGCCAATGAAACCCCTTGACTATTGCCTACCCTCCACTCAACGTCCCAGTAGCCATTGAAGCGATTGTCGGCGGCGCTAACGCAAACCTCATCGGCTTTATCGGTCTCTTGGAAGGATCCGGGCAACATCAATGCTCTTCCAATGGCGCGAAAGGACTTCAAAGTCGGTTAAAAGATGCCCAGCCGCCGGTGGGATGCAATCCTACCATACGTGCTTCTCCTAGCTGCAGATCCGGTTGTTAAGAAGCTTTGAATTCCGTTGTCGTCTCTCGGGCGTCGGGGAATCAGCCCATCCCACGGACAAATACGGCTTGCCAAAATAGGATTGCCACTCGAGATCGTCTGCAATATTTGCTAGGTTAGTTGAAGTCCGGTAGTTGGCAAGGTTGGCAAGGTTGGCCTGGCTGAAGACCCAGTTGAAGGCTTGAAGCTCGCCTATTCAGCCCACCCCCCTGAGTGCCCACATCGGGCACCCACGAAAGAGGTTGTTACACAAGACATATTAAACATCCGCGGTATTGATGCCTACAGCTTACATCTCAGTCTTGCATTCATTCATTGCTGAGGTGGATGGTCGGCTATCATCTTGAAGAACGGAATCTTGCAGATCCCGAACGAGCGAGACGTATCGGGCAACTATGCTGGATGATGTTTTCAAATGTTAATCTCGTATAGATTATGCAGTTCTTGGAATAGCTGAAGGACCCTTTTCCACGAAGCGCAAATCTTTAGCTAGTACAATTTTGAGCGTAGCATCCATGTCTCCATACATACCTCACTCTCTCACTTTTTCATAAGATTAGCTCGGATGTTTAACAGTGTCAGCAAGAAGGTTGTTGAGAAGGGACTACATTTTAACAAACTCGTCTTTAATCGCATAGCATACTTGGAAACCTGTTACAAATTGTAACGTAATACGTAGTATATAAGGCATGCAACCAGCATCGGAATCACATCTGGCAGCAAAGTGGTCAGTACTTTGACCAATAGGATAACTTGATATACGTTCAAGACTTTTACGTATTGAAAGAAATTGCTATCGTTCCTCAGACCGATTCTCCCTGATATAGATAACGGGCACAGTTTCACAGTGGCAGCACCTCCTCCTCTCCTAATGCGAGGACATTGAATTTCGACTCTAACATAACCGGAGCTCGTATTCCCTCAGCTCATGCATATCGTCCATCTTAATGATTACTCATCGTTAATATCCTTCATTAGATACAGTCTAGCCCCCGTCCATCTCCACTATCCCATCCTTTCACTAACTCCACGTCTAGAGCTCCAGCTCTGCAAAAGAATCCTTCACACTCTTCAACCTCGCAACATCAATCCCCAAGTCAGAATACGTCAGAAAGTTGTCCTTGCCAGTCCACTCCTTATCCCGAATCATGTCCCAAAACTCCATCCCAACCGTAAACTCTTGAACTTCCATAGGCCATGAAGAGAAAAGAGTTTCACGAGATACCTGGATATACGTGGCCTTGACATTATGTGCCTCCGCCCAAGTCTGCAACAAGCCTCCTAGAGTCGTGCTCTCCACAAACGCAAATACAGTTCGTCCACCGCGAGTCTTGTCCGGTCGAGCGAGTGCTGCTTCCACGAAGATTCCGAAATGAGAGCGGGTATTTCCGATACAGGCAATCGGCTGCTCGGATGGAGTGGCTTGTATCTGGATATATTGACCACTAGCTGGGACGTAGATCGGTCGAGTTAAGCCTGCAAAGTTTGTCGCATAGTAGGCGCACCACACGAAAGTGGTCTTTGCCAACAATTCTGGTTTGGATTGGATGTATCGAGTGACTTGGGCCTTGGACTCGTAATGTGGAGGCTTAATTCTACCACCACTGACTGTATATGCGTCTGTGAGTGTTGACCAAATGTAATGTTGCAGCGTATCGGTGGCCAATGCCGCGTCTACCATGTTGATGCCCATCTGAGTCTCAATGGCTGCAGCCTGGCCAGCCAATAAGGCAACATCTTTTTCTTCAGGAAATTGCTTCTGAGCGTTTGAAAACACACCCCAGAAGTTTGTAACTGCGAAAACGGCGTATGAGCCAGCGAATGCTGCTTTGAGGGCCGCAGTGTCAGTCAAATCCGCCCGAACCACTTCAACGCCACGAGCTGTAAGTTCTTTTGCAGCTGCGCTCTCCGTAGACCGAGTTACTGCACGGATGGTATATTCTTGAGATTTGTTCTTAAGCAGGTAATCAACAACTGAGCCTCCTTGCGCGCCGGTAGCGCCGACAACTGTGACGAGTTTCTTGGCCACCATACTGATACAAATCTTTGATACAATCTATGCACTGTATTTTGAGATTGTAGATCTGTATGATGGCATATTTATGTAGTCTCTGGATGAATGAGCTGTCTGGTGGCGGTGTGTCTTCTGAAAGGGCGTCACTCTTTTGGAGAGCCATTATCCCCTTGATAGTCGTTGGAGGGTGATCGACTAAGATTCATAAGCATCTGATATAGCATTAAACTGGGCACGACTAGTTAGAAAAGGACATTGACACGCATGTGAATTTGGAATCAAGACCAGGCCAAGGGAGGCTGGAATACCACGGCTATAGAATCCTGCCTGTGAACGGAGATGATACAACAGGATCCACCCGGACAGAAGCCTCAACGTCAATACTTTAGTCTGTATGACGATATAATATAAGATAACGTAAGTTTACAACAGTTAAGCTTCAATTACGAAAGGTGTAGCTACGTTGATTGGCATTTTCACTAGCTATTATAGCTTTGTGATCGTCTAGCACGTTTAAGTCGCTTAGCGGTCACGAGCATCAATCAGCGTCCTATTACTTCGGCATTGGCTGCGGAAGAGCTAATTATCTCAATGTCAAATATCTATTTATGCGAGAAGCTGCTTCATATTGTCAGTTTTGCTTCGTTTCGGAGTATTAATTACAGCCATTCTTTGTAGTGTTGCTTGTCCCGCATATACGATTGAGTAGCTTCCTGGGTGCTTACCAGTCCAACGACTTCAATAGTTCAAGGACTTCTTTTCTATAGTATCCATTGCATATTTTACTACAAAAGTGTACAATGACCTTCAAGTTACCACTTCTTGCCGCCAAGGAAGGTCGATCAGACGACACTCCGTCAGTTCTAGCGTTATTCGGCGTACAACATCCAGAGTCCCTCACCCCTCTTAAACGAAACCTGATCGCAGCTCTAAAAGACATATTTGCTCTCCAAAATGGCCCTGGCCATGTCCAGATAGTACTCGAGTCCCGGCAACCGAGAAACACCTCATCAAACTGCAACACTACCATCTTCCAGACATTCTGGTTCTCCAGACTACGAAGCCTGGTGGCAGAGCGCCGCCGTGTCAAACTTCTGGAACTCGCTCGAAGAAGATGCCGGCATTTGGCGTGAGATTATGCGTATAAGCCCAAGACGCTTCATGCATGCCACCGGTTCGACGAAAAAGCAAGGGCTTGCTCTGGTGCCAGAATTAGCAGACGTCGATTATGCCGATATTGCACCACAGCAGAAATACTGGGGTATTTATCGCGAGCGTATCCCCGATCATGAATCAGATGACTTTGAGTCTGCGTTCATCTCGCAGGCACAGAGAAAGGAAATGGAAGAGAAAGAAGTAAAGACGATACCTGATAAGAGGATAGTGGTGCTTCGAGATCCTCCATCATCATCAGCAGACACGTCGATTGATCAGATCCGTCTCGGGAGAGTAGTATTGTCACATGGCATTGACAACATGTTGTACGTGTGGGAATTCCAGGACTACTCGCAAATGACGGAACAAGAAAAAGAAATTTGGGACAAGCACATCAATGCTTTTGTAGGAGGCTGGATGAATTCACTAGACAAGGAGCGCAGCAAGCATGGCGTCTTATCCTTTCGCAATACCGCTTTGACACGGATAGACGATGGCCTCACTTCAACGTCGGAGTCCCGAATTACCAGCCAATTTGTATTCTATCTGGACCTTGTCGCCTTTGAATACTCTGGCAAATCCACCCGAGACCATTTCAAGGCTCGTATGGCGTTTGAGAAACATCACAAGAACTCTGGAGCTCTTGGTATGGGCAAAGGACGAACTCAGCTCTCTGTCGAGGTAGGAATATTGAAGAAGAATGACTTTGAAGCAGAGTACATTGGTTGTTTAGAGGGAACGGGAACGATGGGTTATAAGGAGTTGATCGACGCAGCGTGACGGGATTATTCATCATGATTTCTTCTTACGCCCGGCCCAACGGCCAATCGCATGGTCATGATGATGGTTCATAAGCGTTATGTAATTATTAGAAGCTTCCAGGTAGAATTATTAGATGTCGAAACGGGTAAAAGTAATAGACGGCGTCCTGGTATTACGTGTTCCAGCGTTCTATTTGCTATGTAAAAGGCCGCGACACAAATCACATGGCGATGATGATGTGAGAGAACGACAGCCATGTGGAGACAAGCTAGTGCAAGGAACAGATCGTGCATTAACTCCGCTGGCTGACAGCCACTGTTTCGATCTGGCTTTTCCCAAAAGGGTCATGCAAGATTGGCTTCCTGGACGGAGATTTTCGTGTAAAATCCGGAGTGCAAGTCGTTGAGCGTTCGGCTCATAATGAGTTTCTTCGGCGATAATATCGCCATAATATCACCGGTAATGGTTACATGTATTATAAAGGAGCTTGATGAGACAGTCGGAATATTTGGAGGGCTCATCGTAACAACGGCTCATTATTCCAGATCAAAATGACTTCGAATGACAACTTTGGAGCAGAGACAACTGCCGAAGAAGTGGCAGCTTCTTTTCGCGACCAGATTGCTGGAAAGACGAGTTAGTGCATGACAATTTTCTGTTGATTTGAAGTCTCGAATCGTAGCAGTTGACGTTTAAAACAACTAGTTCTCATCACTGGCGTCAGTCCCAATGGACTTGGTGCTGCTACTGCCCAAGCTCTCGCCAGATATGAACCGGCGAATCTAATCTTCACGGCTCGGACACTCTCCAAGGCCTCTGCCGTAGCTGACACCATCCGTGCCGAGAATCCAAATCTGAAAACGCAGATCCATCTCGTCCATATCGATTTGTCGGACCTGGACAGTGCTCGCCAGGCTGCCGCCAACATCCAAAAGTTGACACCAAAAATTGACATCATTATCAACAATGCAGCGGTAATGGCCATGCCCGAGAGAGAGATGACAAAGTATGGGCTCGAAGCACACCTGGTCACCAATTTCCTTGGTCATTTCGTCCTCACGACGCTTCTTTCTCCGCAGTTAAAGGCCGCGGGACCCAAGGCGCGGGTTGTCAACATTGTCAGTGGCGGATTTTACGTTCAACCGTTCCGTTTCAGTGATTATAACTTTGACGGCGGAAAAGAGCTTCCAGAGGACGAGCAAGTCGACGTTGAAAATGCAGAAAAGCTCGGCATGGGGTGGGTTACGGGGATGGGCACAGGATACGTTCCATTTTTGGCGTACTCCCAGACCAGTACGGCATTGATGCTCCTCTCTAAGGGATTAAATGAGGGTTTCTCTGGAGAAAAGATCAAGGCCGCTAGTGCCGCTCCTGGAGGTGAGTCAATCATGCCTGGATAGAGTAGATAGTAGAGTCACAAAAGTACATGCAAGCTGACGTTGACCAGTTGTCTTGACGGAACTTCAACGACATCTTCCAGGCGAGTTTAGGAACCAGAAAATGGTGTACAAGACTGCAAGTCAGGGAGCTGCAAGCTTTCTCGTCGCTGCTTTGGATCCGAGTCTCGACGGTATGCAATTTTTTCTGATGATTTGAAGCATAAAGCTAATGGTGATGTAGACCACCCAGGAGCATTCATCGATGATTGCCAAATCAAGGAGACTCCGAAATATGCTCATGATGGAGCAGTTGCCCGTAGACTCTGGACATTGGCTGAATCATGGGCAACAAGCGCGTGATGTTGAAAGCGGGATCGTCGAGAAAGGGCATTGTTCATGTAATGGGTCGCTCACCAGATGTAACTCTACGACACGAACCCAGTATTGAGGCGTAGATAGACAAACTTAGTCGCAATCAATGGCTCATGAATGATAATAATTTTGCTTTTTCATCAAGTCAAAGATCAGTTGTACAAGCAATGAAGCCTGAGAATCGAGGCAACGACAGATGCACTTATCGGTGCGGCCCATCCACAAAGGGCAAGCAACACCCGCGGTTGCCGCTTTGGTGATAGCCTGCCCCAATAAGTGCATTCCGTGTCTCCATTGCGCCACACCGATTTCCACCACGACAGCCTAATTGTAAACCTTCATTTATTTTTTTCTTCCTCGTCTTCCATGCATCCATCCTGAGTCTTTGTCAATACGTTGCATGATGGCCATTTCACGTGTGTTCAAACGCCAAAATCATGTCCGTTACGCTTGTCGTGCGGCATTTTACACGCCAGCCGCCATCTTGAACCGGCCCTCTTCTGTCTGATCCTCCGACACAGCCGAGCGAGCATTATACGATCATATGCGAACCTCGCAGCTATTTCGATAGCTATGGCATGACAGAGGCATCTCTCAGACTTGCTGCGGTGTTCGTCTGCACGATTTGCGCGACGAAAAATCTCTGTTGAGCTGTACATGACGCAGAGTCACCGGCGGTAGTACAAATACCAGACGCTGGAGAAGACGGTTGCTTATACAGATGACTCTTCAAAGACTCGCTGCGTACCTTGTGCTACGAACTGCGGATCATCTGAGAGATCTGACCAGTCGAATCTCATTCATACGAAGCCTGTTATGATACCGGATATCCAGTTGCCGCATCAGCCATGTTTGCTCCGATTACATCCCTCACCTTGGGTGCGCGGGATTTTATGGACACGTCGCTCCATACCGCAATTTGCGCGGCGGGGCTACGAGCGAGCGCCATACTGCACCCATGTTGGTGTGCCCCAGGACCACAACACCCTGATTCAACAGGCCTTGAGTATCGCTGCAAGCCTTTCAGAGGCTCTGTGGCTTCATGGCATTCAATATCATCATTGAATGCCTCTTTTATGCTCCCCTCTTCCTCCTGGAGGACGGGGAGCGTCAACGGACCGCACAACAGGGTTGAACACTTTATACCCCCCCGTAAGATCAATAGCTATCGGGGGGTAGAAGGCGCCGTGGTGCAGCGGTCAGGTCAAACTACCCCCCTGAGGATCGAAGGCCAACAACCGAATCGACGACACCCCGAGTTCGAAACCCCGACGAATCACGAAAAAATCGACAACTTCCTGGACTAAACGGAGCAAGGCAGGGACGCCTGCCTTCTCCACTAGATAGACAGAGATGTAGGCGCCTGGTTTATCCCAAATAGGGTGTAACCTGGCGCCGAACTCTTTTGTCATTTGTGTCAATTTTTTTTTATCACGGGATGTTGATTCGATTGAGATTTCCTTCAGTGGAGGAGGATATCCGTGATCTCCTGGTGATCTTGGCTGCTTTGTTTTTTTTTTGCGTGAGAGATCTACAGATACTGTATTTCTGTGGGTTGGGGAACTGGCGCAAAGGATTGCGTTGCGTAGCAGCACTTGGTGATATCTACGGTAGGTGAAAACTTGGTGTTGAGCGCGTAGAGTCGTAGTTTTGTAGAGCTCAGTGGGAATTTCTTTTGCAGCGCTGGCTCGCCATACTTGCTACGCACTTTCTGCACAAAAACTCCAGTCCAGAGAATGTCTGATATCTTCTACTATTCTGGCAAATGCTACAAAAAAAGAAAAAGAAGAGAAAACACCATTTGCCAAAGAAACAGACTCGTCGACTTTGCAAAAAGATCTGCCAGATTGATCAACGTTTTGGACGTTGAGAGTGTCGGCACGTGCAAACGGTGGCTAGCAAAGCTACGTTCTGAAATAAGCTTAAAATCGCTGGAACCTGGTCCTTTTGGAACTCGCCTAGACTCTGACCCTGCAGATTGCGCGATACGCTCCAACAATTGCGAATGCAGCAGCTAGACAGTCTATTTGCGACACGAGGATGCTAATCGTTGCTCTCTGCTTGAGCCGACAAGAAAATGCTTCTGCCTAGTCGGGGCTAGAAGAATCCAGCCGCTGTTTGCGCCGCCAATTGCGGTCAGAAACGCCATTGAATCTTGTTCTACGCGGTAGGCCAGATCTGGTGGCTAAATCCTCCTGCGCAACGTTTCCGTGGAGGACAAGAGGCTAACCCGCAAGTGTTTTGCTTACTTCTCCCTTAGATTCCAAGATCCAAGGCCGACCAATGGCCACAATGGCCACCCACCGAAGATTCTATTGTGCGAAGCACCGTGGCGAGTAAGAATCAGAGATTAAAAGCCTCGATTCCAGGAACAAGCCACGAGAAAGTCTCACCAAGGGCGAATATCTGTTGGCCGCTCACGCAAGAGGCTTGGTCGAAACAGCCACCGAAAACTAGCCCCGTCGCCTTGCCCAATCATCCCAATCCTCCATTCGGCGACTCCAGTCTTTTCTTCCCTTGCGTATCCAACTTCACCGAGCACGCAAGCAGGCTATCCATATCCTTGGTTGGAATGCGACCGACGAGTCGGCGAAGGGCCGTTTGCGACCACCCGCGAAGATCCCCCATCCACTCTTCGACGGAGCAAAGGCGGATCAATCGGCAAATTATGTGAGTCGTGCGGAGCATTTTGCAGCAATTGGAGCAAGGCACAAGGCTCGGCCAGGGCTAAAATGATGCGACTCCACAGGATTCGTCGTGACGGGCTGCAGAGGCGGGCTAGAGGCCCTCAATCCATGCCCGCTAGATCGTGGAGGCGGAATAACGTCATCATTTGGCGAAGACTCTCCGGAGGCTGGCCTGCCTAACAGGTCCGTAGGAACATGGGAATATGGGGCCATTCAGCCATTCTATGGGTGTAGATATGGTCGCGGTGGTTGACGTGCTCGCGAGATCCCTGCCGTCTCTGCGCTAAGGGGCTCTTGGTGGTGCAAATCTTGCCTGCTTTTTTCTCCTACGAGGCCGTTTATTGGGCAGGAAACGGTCTACATACAGACAAGCAGCATCACTGCATGGGAAGGATCGCCGTTTTTATCTCGGGCCCTCGCTGCACCGACGCTCCATCATCCTTCCATCATCATCATCCTCTTTCTTCCTCTTCTATCAAAACCACACATAGCCTGCATAGTGTTCGAGTCGATGTGCTTGGTTCATTCATTGGAGTCTCGGTTTAAGGTTGAAGCGTATTAATCTTGTTGTTTGGTTTTCCATCTTCCCTTTCTTTCCCATCTCGGCCACTTCGTTGTTCTCTTGGGATCACCCCTTCCTGTCGCAACAATGTCTGAGAAATTCAAGACACCGCCTGAAGATCTCGAGGCGACGGTGTCTCACTCGAGTGGCTTCTCGCGGTTTGCTTCGCTATTTGGCGGCTCCAGCGTCTGGGTTGGTCCCCGGATAGCACCGCTGCCCGCCTATCTCAAGAGCGATCTCTCTGAAAGCGAAGAGAGTAGCGAAGCAATCCTCAACCGACAGCTCGCATCGGAAGATGGCACCTCGATCCAATATCGAACTTGCTCATGGCAAAAGACTGCGGCGCTACTCTTCAGCGAGTACATTTGTCTGGCTATTATGAGCTTTCCTTGGTCTTACAGCGTGCTGGGTCTTGTCCCTGGCTTGATCTTGACTGTTGTCGTTGCAGCCCTTGTGCTCTATACAAGTCTTGTCCTGTGGGAGTTTTGTCTGCGACATCCAGAGGTACGCGACGTGTGCGACATTGGCCAGATGCTCTTCTGGGGCAAGGAATGGGCATGGTGGCTGACTGCCATCATGTTTGTCCTGAACAATACATTTATCCAGGCTCTTCACGTTCTGGTCGGCGCAGAGTACCTCAACACCATGACTGAAAGCGACAAGATTGGCGGCTGCCGCACCGTTGAGTTTGGCGTCGTGGTCACAGTCATCTGCCTGATTGCATCGCTGCCTCGCACGTTCAGCATGATGTCCAAGCTTGGTACTGCGTCGGCAATCTTTACCTTTATCTCTGTGTTGCTGGCAACCATCTTTGCTGGTGTTCAGAACAAGCCCGCAGGATACACTGCGGCTCTGGGCTCGCCCATTGTCACGGCTATCCCAGTCAAGGGCACGACTTTTGTCAACGGCATGTCGGCTTTCCTCAACATTAGCTACACCTTTATTGGCCAGATTACTCTCCCCAGTTTCATTGCTGAGATGCGCGATCCTCGGTAAGCTCTCTTGATTCTCCAATTCATTTGTTTCCTTGTTGCGGTTATACTGACTAGATCGCTTTCAGGGAATTCCCCAAGTCGCTGTGGGCCTGCACGATTGCCGAAATCATCGTCTTCTCCATTGTCGGCGGCGTCATCTACGCCTACACTGGCAACCAATATGTCACGGCCCCGGCGTTTGGATCTTTGGACGATCTTTACAAGAAGGTTTCCTTCTCCTTCATGATCCCAACTCTGATCTTCCTCGGATGCCTGTATGCCTCAGTGACGGCGCGCTTCGTCTTCTTCCGCGCGTTTCACAACTCGGTGCACATGAATAGCCACACCGTTGTGGGATGGGGAAGCTGGTTCGGTATCCTGCTCGTCACCTGGATTTTCGCCTTTATCATTTCTCAGGTCATTCCTTTCTTTTCTTCACGTAAGTTCTGATCGCTCTGAAGCCACCATCTTTCCCATACTAACGAGTCTTTTTGCTCAGTCTTGTCCGTCATGTCATCTTTGTTCGACAGTTGGTTCGGCTTCATCTTTTGGGGCGTCGCGTACCTGCGCATGCGAAACGCGGACAAGCAAGTTGGGCGGAAACGCAACAGCGTGACTGCAGCGTTTTCCACGGCCGTGAACATTGCCATCATCATCATAGGCGTATTCTTCCTGACAGTTGGCACATATGCCAGTGTACAGGGCATCATCGATCAATTCGATGCCGGCACAGTCCACGGCGTGTTTTCTTGCAAGAGCAACGGAATATGAAGTCACGAAGATTTATATATATACCCCCAAAAAAGTAATGGGTTAAAAAAAAAAAGAGGGAAGAAGGGAGCCGATTCTAGATAACGACGGCATCGAGATACATACCCTACATTATACACATACTGGATACATGATGGGCGGCAGCGGAGGTGTGCAAATAGATGAGCCGCGTACGGGGGTGGTACAAGTCGAAATACTTACTACATCTCTCACGATGTATACTTTTTCTCGGAGAGCATTTGCAAAGACCTGCAGAAGTGCACGGCGTTTTCCTGGATTCTTCCCGTACGATTTTCTGATTTCGGCGGGAGCTGACTGACTTCGTAGATGTAGCGTAAGATTCGTAGAGGCCTCGTAGTTGTAGTTGTAGTTGTAAAATAATATGATGAAATGATGTGTGAAATAATGATGATGAGGATGATGTAATCAATTTAGTTAGTATTCGAAAGCCGCTTGAGATTTGGAGTGAACTTGTCATTATTGACTTGTTGTAAATGAAGATAGAACTTCACATGTGATCCAACTCCAGTTATTCAATTTCTCAGGGTAGCAGTTTCATTGCCCTTTTCTCGCTGATCATGTCCACAAAAAGCATGGTATGAAAGATTCTTTTTTGCCACTGAAAATGTAGTATTCAACAATTGACCCAGTTGACTAGGATTGCTCAATTAAGGATGATATCCCAATCAATGCAGCAAAACTGATTTACTCCCGGGTATTCCTGCAGAGATCTGGTTATGGAGTCCCTCGTATAGATACTGATCCATTCCCAGCAGCCACCTATATACACACTTATCTCTTGACAATCGCAAACAATCTCATCAATCCAAATCTATTGTTTTCCCTCAAAACATCCCCATCGAATTCCCCTCTCTTGATACCCAATTCTTCACAAATCGTCCATCTTGTCGTAACACAACCCGTCCAAATCAGACCACCCCACCACCCTGATTGGCCCAGCGCCTCTCCCCTCCCCTAAGCTAAGCACAAATAGGCGGTTCTGGGTACCTGATGCACTGTAACCTCTCTGCGAATTTGTTTGGTGCAGTTCGGTTTACTGCAAGAGGCTAGAGACACCGCTTTTGTGTTCGGTGTTACGAAACAGAACAGCCAGCCCACTTAGTCCGGTGAGAGCTCGGAATACAGATGGCGAAGCTGCGCGGCCGTTTCTAACCTCAACATCTGTTCAACCACAGCCTTGAATTGCCATCATTCACAAGACAGACAGGCAATTGCTGCTGCTCCCCTTCGATTCTGATTCTGATTGATCACCCAAACATCGCAACATCAGTCAATCTCTTCACTCAAATCATCACCCCAGATGGCTCGGTCAGCCGCCACAACGGCCACCAAAGAGGCCAAGCCTGAGGCTGCTCCTCCAGCTCCAACCGACAGCGATAATAATAATAAGCTGCACGAGTTCTTCTGGACTTACACCGAAGAGCCGCACCGCACACGCCGTCTGGCCATCATCAAGGCCCATCCCGAGGCAAGATTGCTCCCTCATCCCTCATCTATCCCCACGCCACTCGAAACAAAACCGCTAACTCAAGATTCCATTACAGGTCCTCAAGCTATGCGGCCCTGAGCCTCTGACCAAATACGTCGTTGCCGGCGTCGTCGGACTCCAGATCGTCCTGGCCTACCTCCTGCGGTCAACGCCCTTCTGGTCCTGGAAGTTCTGGGCCGTCGCCTACGTCTTCGGCGCCACTGCCAACCAGAACCTGTTTCTGGCCATCCACGAAATCTCGCACAACCTCGCCTTCAGGAGCCCGCTGGCCAACCGGCTCATCGCCATCATTGCCAACCTGCCCATTGGCATTCCTTATAGTGCTTCATTCAGGGTACGTCAAGCCCCAAATATCGACACCACCATGCTTCAAAGCATAGTCTCTTGTCAAACCACAAACGATATACTAACTCTTTATATAGCCATATCACCTCACTCACCACAAGTCCCTCGGCGTGGATGGCCTCGACACAGATCTTCCAACTGCCCTAGAGGCCTTCGTCCTCGACTCCATCTTCGGCAAGGCCTTCTTCTGCACATTCCAAATCTTCTTCTACGCCATCCGCCCCATGGCAGTCTACCGCATCCCCATGACCTGGATCCACCTCCTCAACGTCGTCACCCAAATCGCCTTTGACGTCCTCCTCTTCCGCTTCGCTTCTATCAACGCCCTCCTCTACCTGCTGCTCTCCTCCTTCCTCGCCGGCAGCCTGCACCCCCTGGCCGGCCACTTCATCGCCGAGCACTACGTCTACGAGACCGTCACCCCTACGCAGCGGAACCCCGACAACAAGGTCCCCGTTCCAGAGACATTTTCCTACTACGGCCCCCTCAACATCTTGACCTACAATGTGGGGCTGCACAACGAGCACCACGACTTCCCGGCCATTCCCTGGACAAGACTTCACGCTGTGTATGACATTGCCAAGGAGTTTTACGAGCCTCTTCCCCGCCACGAGAGCTGGGTCTATGCTATTTGGCGTTTCATCTTCGACGAAAACGTGGGTATTAGCTGCCGTGTCAAGAGAAAGGAGGGCGGCCGTATCGTTGGCGGCGCTGTCAAATGGAAGCAGTCGGAAGTCGAGGCTTAAAAAAGAATACACCATCAAAGGGGTGGTTTCATGTCGTTTTGTGGTGTACGCAACACACAACCAATGTTCAGGTTGGGAGGGCTAGAATCTTGTAATAAGCGTTTCTTTGCGATATAAAAAAAAGCACCTCACTCTGTCCTTTGGCGTTGTAACGAGAAAAGAAAAATTAACGGTTATAGATGAACCAAGACAGACGGATTCAAGCCCTCGGGTTGGGGGCTATAGAATAGCTATGAGAAATGAAATGAAATGCTACGTGGCATGATTAGGAAGAAGTTCGAGAATATGACAAGGTTCATATATGGCAACACATTGTATAAAGCTTTCATCAATTGATTTTTTCCAATCCTACCTACCTGGCTGAGTACCTGATATGCTCACTGAACGAGCATGGTACACATCCTACCTGAATCCACCACCGAATTACTTACAAAAGGAAAATACAAACAAAACATGTGACTGAAATATTGAGAAAAGGGGACAAAGAAAAAGGAGCGACAGCAAAGAAAACAAGAAAAAAAGGAGCAAAGACACGCCTATGAGATACTAAGAAAACTACTGCAAAAAAACAAAGTAAAGTACAGAGAACCGCACGCATGCCCAGACTCACTCAAGAGCCAAAACATGGACAGCCCTGCCTCCATCACAATTCTCTCTCTCCGCAAGGGGGTGAGTCATAAATATTGCCAGCACCCTTTTGGCATCGCTGAACGAGCACAGCTCACACATCTTTTCTCCCACTTTCTTCGTACACACTCAAAATCAATGCGCCGTCCCCCATCCATCATATATAATAATTGGCCGGGTCTGCCTCTCATGATTGGCGGTTTTTATTGCCGCCGATATGTGGGCGAGAACCTCCTCTAATTCAAGGTTGGCCGTTAGCCTTGGCAGTAACTTCCCCTCCTCAATCCTCATTATCTCGGAAAGTAACTTGTTACTCCTCATCAAGAGGAGAGGCTTAGAAGAAGACGTAGGCAAGCAGGAAGCTGACGAGACACAAGATGGCCACAATCTTGACAGGCACACCCTCGACACCCTGCTTGGTTTGCTGAGCAAGAGCTCCGCCCGAGCTCTTCTCCGTCTCCGCACTGCCCTTGACATTGCGTTGTCGAAGACCGCCATTCTTGTAGTTTGCCAGTTCAGCTTCCAGCTGGGCAATCTTGGCCTTGTAGTCTTCTGATCCCGCTAGGACTGAGCTGACAGCGGCAGTCTTGGAGGCGGCCGACTTGGCGGTCTGCGGTCTGGAATCATCATCTTCCCTGTCGTCATTGGCATAGGGAGGAGGTGCGGCGTTTGAGGCGTCGTCAGCAGATGGAGAGGAGTAGGATCGAGGCGCATCGGGAGTATCGTATGCCTAATGGGCCGCTGTTAGTTACATGCATCGTCTAGCCAGCGTAAAGATTGATACGCACTCCATTCACCGCGGCAGGCTTGCTAGGCGTCGCGACGGCGGTGGGACCATGGTCAGGGCTGTCACCTGCAGGTAGCCAGTTGACTCGGATCTTTCGTTCGTAGATGGCAGACTTTTCCGTCGTCTCGAGCTGTACGTGTAATGCACGGTCAGTTCATGTGTCTGAGGATGTAGGTAGGCGTCAAGGGACTCACCACTGAAGCAATGCTCGCGAATTCCTTGTCTGGAGTAATGGGGGCCGACTGGACGAGAAACTTGTCCCTGCACTTTGCATCCAGCGGGGGATCGGCCTTCATCGCCTGCAGAAGGACTATGCTAGTGTCAGCGGCATTGCACAAACCGTTGCTGCCTTGTAGCGACCCAACGCACCCGTAACATCGAAATCCTGGCCAGGCTCAATACGGCCCGCATTTGGTCGAACGCAGTACCTGTTGAGAAGAAGAAAAAATTGTTAGATTTTCATCTTGACAAATCGGATGTAGAATCGCAACGAGAGGGTCAATCATACTGCTTGGGAGCCGTCGTTTTCACCTGGAATAAAGTTAGCAGGGATCTTGTTGAAACAGGAGGTATCCACAAACATATGCAGTCGTGGGAAACTGCAGAAGCTATAGGTGGCACATGCGGATCACGACATGGACATACCTTGAATGCCAAAGGCGATGAGCTTGGGTTCTTGATCTTGAGGATCTGCGCGACCTCGACGGTGAAGGGCCCTATGCAATGCCAGTCCGTCAATGGATGCTCTCGCTCAGGATGGCATCACGGCCACGTAGGGCGGAAAAGACAACATACGCCGAAAGGACAGCTCAACAGGCTCAATCTCGACCGACATGGCGAATGAAGCTGCGGAGAAGATGCTGGAGTTGAGCTAGGGGCAAGGTCGGAAGCTGGGCACGAGCCGGAAAGCAAAAAGATGTCGTCGTGTTTGAATCGATGGCGCTGCAGCGGCGGGGAAACGCGGCGGACTCGAAAATCGACAGATGGGATTGAAAAAAAGGGAGGCAAGAATAACGAGTATCAAGAAGAAGAGATCAGAGGCTGTGCCAAAAGTATGATCGAAACAAGAGCGGGAGAGCAAGCGGTGGTTGAGAGGATGGGCAGCTGTTGTTTGATTACAAAGAAGAGATCCGGAGACGTGATTGATGGATGGCATGTCGCTTCGGCCCCTGTATCGAGATTGGCTGGCGAGGCTGAGCTGGCCAAATGAGATGCGGCATGACTAAGCCGTCTTCAGGGTCTTTTGGTCCCGTGCAGGGGGGAGAGAAAGCACTGAGACAACAGCGAAGTTTGCACGCTACGGCGATTTAATTTACGCGAAAAGAGACTTGGGAGCTTGGGAAGAGCATCTTGTGATGGTGCACGTGTGGAAATTGAGGATAGCTAGGGGAGTGCTGGATCTCCATCATATGATGGGAAGGGTCAGATGCTCTGGAGCTACAGTTTGCACCAGTGCAGAGCTGCTACGTCTTGTGATATCACCGCTGAATTAGCTTAGAGAGAAGTGGCATCTAAGCTCAGTAGGTAAAATCGACAGCTTTGCATATTGAATACTTTGGTGATGTGATGTAAACAGGCATTCTTCTACTGTACGCTCAATGTCTCAGTATAACTTGTCTCCCTGCAGAATGTTCTGTACGAGATAAGCACATGTATGGATGTGTGAATGTAGCTCTGACGCCATCTTACGTAGGTGTTGGTACCTAACGATTCAGACGCCGTGTAGTCAAGAGCACCTCCAAAGCTCAGTGAAGTGAATCAAGGTGCTTCAATAAATCCCACGAGTCACGTTATATGCTTACTTATCTCGTTGACTTATTTTACTATTTTCATCAATTCATATTTGCCATCTTTTTAAAGCATCACTGTAAACTGCACCAGCTGCACCATCTCCACTGCGAGCTTCGTCTTCTACTGAAGCTTCTACCCCACACTCCTCTCCCATTACCGTCACACCTATTTCATCACCTCACACCCCATCCTCTCCATCTCACAGCCCTCCATATCAAAAAGAGCAAATCTCAGCAAAGATGGCTTCCGATCTAGACACCCTAATTGACATGGGCTTTGAGCGGGCTCGGGCTGAGCTCGCCGTCAAAAAGTCCGGAGGACGTGAGTGTTCAAGACCACCATTTCCCAGCATCAGCGGCGCCTCATCTCACACGTGTCTTTATAAACCGCAGTACAGGGAGCTCTGCAGTGGCTAGAAGACAACCAGGACAAGTCACTCGAGGAGATTCAAGCTGCTCAGGCCGCGGCCCAAGATGACGACGAGGACGAGGATGAGACCAAGGCAAAGATTGCCGAGCTGGAAACAGGCCAGTCCGCCAAGTCTCTCATCTGCAACGAGTGCGGGAAGCGGTTTAGAAACCACGATTTGGCCAGTTTCCATGCCAGCAAGACGTATGGTCCTCTTCTTTACTTTTGAATAAGGATCAAGCCTAACAATATCGTAGTGAGCATACAGACTTCTCCGAGTCAACGGAGGAAATTGCGCCTTTGACCGAGGAGGAGAAAAAGGCAAAGCTTGAGGAGCTGAGAGAACGACTCAAGGCGAAGAAAGCTTCTCGGGCTGACCAAGACAAGGAGGATGCAAAGCGTAACGAGGTGATTATCCACTCTTCCTCCACCTAGCTGTACGTTTTTGGCCTCTCTTCTAACCCGTTGATAGAAAATTCGACAAAAGTCTACAAAGGAGACTCAAGAAGCAAAGGAAGAGCTGGCCCGCAAGGAGCAGATCAAGGAGGCTATGCAAAAGCGCAAAGAGAAGCTCGAGGAGGCCGAAGCCAAGAAGCGCATCAAGGCCAAGATCGAAGAGGACAGAGCCGAGCGCCGCCGCAAAGCCGAGGAAGCAAAGGCTGCTCGTGAAGGCAGAGCGCCTGAGGCTGCATCTTCATCGTCCGCTGCTCCCGTTGCTGCAGCTGCACCCCCACGACCCAAGGCAGATCACACGGAGGCGAAGCTGAAGCTGCAAACAGACTCGGGGAACATCATGAAGACGCTGCCGGCAGAGACGACGCTGTTTGAGCTTGCGCAACAGCTGCAGAGCGAGACTGGCACGCCAGTGACGACATTTACGACAACATTTCCCAGGAAGACATTCCAAGGAGATGTGGACATGTCCAAGACGCTCAAGGAAGCAGGACTCGTGCCTTCATCTGTGCTCATTGTAAAATAGACTGGCATAGTCTTCTGTACTATATCAAGGCAAGGTACGAGAAGGGATACAAAGCTGCGGCGATGAAACAAGCAGCCTTGGGATGGACGCAATCCGCTTTAATCTTGAGCCAAGGGTAACATTCTCGAGCGCTTTCGTCAGTAGATATAGCGTCCGTCATTACGGGGACTCCCAATCTCGAGCAGCTCGGGCCCCATTTGCGCAGTTTCACAGCAAATAGGCAATGGATGCATGCACGTGCAAAAATTCAAGATTTGTCAAAAAATTTCTTTTTGTTCTTCCCAAGTCATTTAATTGACTATTTGTCCCCTCCCCGCGTGAACTCCGTCGTGTGAGAGCATTCATCATATTATCCTTATGAACGAAGCTACTCTGCCCAGGACGCAGGATATAGGCGCCCACTCCATCCTGTATGCATCCATCGATGTGTATAAAGACCCCGAAGTGCCATGCAGTTGAAGTACAAAGAAGCAAGAGAAAAAACAGTCGCCGCAACAGGTGGAGCTGGCCGTTTAGTCGAAGAGACCGAAACCCATGTCCTCGTCGGACTCCTCCTTCTCTGCAGAAACATATTAGTACGATCGATCCCTTCGGTTCGCGGAGCAGCAGCCAGAACGTACCCTCCTCCTTAGCCTCCTCAGCAGGGGCGTCAGCGACGGCACCGCCAGCAGCGGCGGCAGCGCCGGGGGCAGCGGCGGCACCACCACCGGAGCCGACGTTGACCAGGAGGTCCTTGATGTCCTTGCCCTCAAGAGCCTGTGTGTCGGGAAAAAACCATAACTCGTCAGCGACCAATTCATTTCTCTCGGCTATTTGGAAATTCGACTTCGTAGAGCCTATTCCGTCATGGGCGGGTTTTTCTTTCGGAAATTCGTACCTTGGCGAAGATTGATGTCCAGATGGGCTCAACCTCGACCTTGGCGGCGGCGATCAGGGTCTGGAGCTTGTCGGCCTATATGGTTGTGAAAATTGTCGCTTAGCACACAAAACACTCTCCCACGGGTTTTTTCCCTTATATCGCCCTTTTCGCGGGGCACAGAATTTTCGAGTCTGCGCCCGGCGACAAAGGGGACACAGCGAGGATTTGGAAGCAACTCACGGTGATCTCAATGCCATCGTCGGCAAGGATCAGGGCCGCGTAGGAAGATGCGAGCTCGGCGGTAGACATTGTGTGAGATTTGTCTGTGCGGATATGGGAAGATGTCAAGTCTGCACGGGAAAAGAGTAGTGGTTTGGACAATTCAATTATCACCACAAAAGGCCAGGCTAGGGGACCACAAAAAATTACCCTGGTCCAAAATTCGCGGGCTTGGAGGGCTTGAAGACCTAAAGCGAATGGGCCAATGGTTTTTCCGCGTGCCGGTTCGTGTGCCGCAAGCGGGGCTGTGCGTTGATTGGCTGCGGCGAGCCCGACCAATCAGCGGCCGGGCGTCAGCTGCAACGAGGCCGCCCGGATGCGCAACGTCGTCACTCTCCAAAAGCATCCAAACGCATCCAGAGCCCACCCCACCTTGAGCTGAGCTTCCCCACCAGCATCCGCATTGAAGCAAGACAAGCAGCATCGCGACTCGCTGCCGTTGCGCATCCAGGGACGCTTGTTTGTTTCTTCCATCTCCATCTACCAGTAGTTACAGTACCGGCTCTCACTGAATCTGCACCAAATCCCCCCCCTGAGAACGACCCCGAAGCGTGCATTCTGAGATTCTCAATTGGCCGACGAATCCCGGAACTAGCCATTGGATCCTGGATCCTGCATCGTCATTCCCGGAAGAACTGGAAGCCAGGGCGTCGACGAACATCGTTTCGGCTCCCTCAAGCAATCTAGCTGATTTACAACAGCGCAAGTTGACTTGCGACCCATTTCGACTCTCTCTCTTCCTCTACAAATTCTCAGTGTCACAGCATCAGATATGGATACACCCGCAGTGCCTCTACCGCAGGATGCCCGGGAACAGGCCGTCCTAGACAGTCTCGTCGTCATCCGCGACAAGCTCTTGCTCTTGAAGCAGGACCGGACAACGTATATCCGGAGCCAAGACATTATCCCCCTCTACGATGAGACCATCTCAAGGGTCAAGGAGCTGGACGAAATCCGTACCGAGACGGGGAACAAGGAGGAGAACCGACGTAAGTTGAACCCGCTCAAAACTATTCAGAGGCTCGCTTGCCAAACTGCGCATCCAACAGTCGACAAAGTCTTGGAAAGCTGCTTCCAGCTTCTATCTCTCTTCTACCTCACCATCGGACGCAACAATGATATCCCCGCCAGCTACGCGCTGACTTCAACAATCAAGCGGCTGCTCGACCACTTGACCGAGGCTGACCTCTACTCCGCCAAGGACCTCGAGAGCATCAAATCCACCCTGTCGAACCTTTCCAACAGCATAACACAAGCCAAAAGCAAGCCCGAGAACTCTCCATACCTCCTCAAGCTGCTGTCGAACCAGGTGGGGAAATGCCTGGCGATGTTGGAGAACCTCCAGAAGCGGTTAGGTCGCATTGGCGAGCCTCTGCTTGCTACGCATGAGAAGTTGATTTCCATTCTACGATCCATTTCTTTGGCAAACACAAAAGCAAAGGTGCGCATTATCGCCGAGAGGAATTGAGTTTGAGTCGCTGACTTAAATATGGCATAGTTTTCAAGTACCGAGGTCCAAAAACTTCAGAAGCAGCTTCTAGATATCGGAGAGAAGCGCAAAGATGGCCAATTCGTTAATGAGGATGGGTCTGTGCCACAAGGCTCTGTTGAGATTGGCGAGCTCTACCAACGAGTCCTCAAGTGGTCGGAGATTGTATTGGAGAGGTGAGTAAATGAACAGCCGCTTCTGAAACGACCATGCAGTTAATGTTGTGTAGGAAGGGAATCATGCCAGAGCAGTTTCGCCCGATGTACCACACCCTTGTTGGCATCCGCAACGAGTTGGAGAAGCTATCCTTGACACAGGCCTGGGCTCTTCGCGAGACGGACCTGTATGACTTCCAACGCCAACTCGACAAGATTGATGAAAGCCGGCAGAACGGAAACTTTTACGACGACAAGGGCAGACCTGCTGACCTGTATACGCAACGGACGATGTTGTATCTGATTCGACGAAGCTACGCCTACATTTACTCCTTCATACTAGCCTCGGAGCCAGTTTCTGAGGCTCTCCTGCCCATCTATAACCAGCTGCAAACTCTCAAGAGGTGTCTCGTCGAGGTACGGAACAGTGGTGGCGTATCATCTGCCAGAGAGCTGTATCCTTACAGCATGAAGGTATGTCTCATCAAGAATATGTCACTTGAAGAAAAGTTCCATTCTTCGTGCTAACTAGTTTGTCAATAGCTAAACTCGCTTGATAACCTGAGGGTGGATGGCAAATTCGTTGTCAATGGCGACATTCCTGAAGGTCAAGGCAGCGTTAGTGAGCTCCTTGCTGAATGCTTCGATCTCAGCTATGATTTGAGAGTCGCAGCAGAGGAGAGCACCACAACCGATACCGATGGCAAGTGATTCGTGTCTCAACCAAGAAACTTTGACCGTCCTCACGGGGCCGTCTGTCTACCTATTTGCTTGTTTTGCTTTGGTCTAATTGGATGCTTTTTGGATTTTGCATTAATCCTGCGTACGTTGCATTGGGAATTTGCCTCTGGAGTGGTCGGGAAGACATTGGGGCCGTCCAGCGATGGTGTCTGATCAGCTACGCTGATGGGATGATGGCTAACGGGGTAATATCGGATACATCATATTGTTAACTTTGGCTGGGTGGCATTTGCAATTTTTTTTTCTTCCTTTGTTAATTCTTTTTGGATTTTTTTCTATGTTGCTCTCTCTATGTAAGGATGTATCGGACATGGGCCCTTGCTGTGTGTACTGAGCTTCTATTCGAATCTGAAGCCTTTTTTGAAGGGATAGACTTGGGCCTGATTAGTTGGCAGTGTCAGTCTCCATTACTCGACCAGATCATGTTGAAATGCAAATTTTGGATTTATTTACCTTTTCAAGATCCCAAACACCTGCTCTCACGTAAATGTCGTCCTTAACCTTGTTGATGGCGTCCTCCTTGGACTTTGCAACCAAAACCATGATGCTGCCAGCAAAGTCAAATGTGTTTGGATCGTTGTCATCTTCGGGAACCTCATTGAGAATGCCGCCTGGTTATTTGCTTTCATTTAGCTCACGTTGTATGGGCCGTTGAATTTGGATCCTGTATATGAATACATACCGCCCATCTTCAGCCATCCGTCCTTGAGAGTGGGGGTCATGTCACTGAAATGCTGGCTGCACAAGCAACGGCATTGCAATCAGCAAACTGTCTCATCTTTGACAGCTGAACAAAAACAAATCTCACTGTGCAAGAAGAGTTATTTGATGAATACGTACGGCCTCACTTGGAGACGCTTGGCCCGAACCTCGGGGCCAGGCTTGTCCGGGATGACAAGCACAAACTCATATTCGCTAGGCGGTGCAGTGGCCATTGTGCGGATGAAAGAACGCTGGATCTGTGAGAGTGGTGATAGCAAACGACGAGCGGTGAGGCGAGCAGCCATAGCGGTGTTGGATGGACGCCTTTATAATCGCAGCTGAACAAGATAAGGCATGTATGTGTGAGATGAGGTGATCGTTGCTGATGGAGGTTAATGTCGGCTTAGGATAAACTTGGAGTTGGAGATGAGGGACAGGGCGCGCTAAATGTCAACCTGAGCAGTTCCCTCTTTGGGCGTCGATGCAACAGCCACAGCACCGAAGCTGTGAGGAATCAATCTTCTATGTGCTTATCTCAATGTTGGAACTGCTGCCCAGTGACATTTAGGCCGCCATCATCCGCAGCGTTTTTATATATACATGCATCTGGTGAGGCTGTACGTAGACTCAAGGCCGCCCTGATTGGCTCAGGCCAAAGTGGACAAGCCATCCAAGGCGCGCCCTTGAAAACCACCACCGCAGTTTAGGGTAGGCTAAAAGAGAGCTTCAAGCTTCAAGTTGGGGTCAATTGGGGGGTTATAAGCATGGACAAAGACAAATTGTTGCATAACCGACAGCCTAGCCTCATGTCCGTAATCGGTACTGTGGCGGACCATCAGACGAAAGCACGTGCCCCGTGGAGGGTTGAAGCTCATTTCATGCAATCATGTTCGGCGGCTCAGAAAACTCAAAGGCCTTAAATTGCGCTGCATGTCGTCACGGATCTTGTTTGCCAAGCCCCGGCGGTTGAAGCCACTAGATGCGGATTGGGAAGATTTGCAGGCGAGATGACCTCAAAGAAACGCCATGAATCGAGCGCGAGGCCTGTAGAACTGGGTTACTTGCTGGGTAGCTAGAGCCACTATTCGCCTGTCCTGTCGATTGCAGCACGGTAGGTAGATGACCTGTACTTAATCTCGATCATGCCCTACCCCTACGTCATAAGGGTTTGGGAAACGTTGATAATTCATCATCACCTGGATTTCGCATGGCATGGCTAACTGTGAAGCATCACCATCTTCACTACAACCACAACCACAGCACTGCTGCAGTCACTCTCCAGACAGAGAAACCACCAAGATACTCTCATACACAAAGAAACGGCGGAAAAGGCCGATAAAACCGCATCAATGGCATATCGGATGCCTCACGACCGAGACCGGCGGGTGTACATCGTCATCCACCAAGACGGCATGATAGCCACAATCCTCGGCGTCTATGAAGAGCTGCAAGACGCCAACCGAGACTGTCTGTTCCAGGCATCGCAAGGAGGAATCGAGCTGCTGCAGCCCTCGCCCACGACAGGCCCCGACAAACACCACATCTCGCCCATTGAACCCGCGCGGTGGGACACGCCGGACGGGTTGTCGTGCTGGGTTGAGAGCCATGTAGTTGAGCCGAGCCGAGTTGTGAGCGGGAATCTCGAGATACGCAGACCAATGGCGTGAACGACAAGAACGACAAGACACGCTGATATACCTATTTGATACGATGCAATGCGATGCGATGCACAATGCGATGCTATATGATACCTCAGTAGCAAAAACAAGATATCATTACGAATAACCAGTACCTACCTACCTTACCTATCCACTCGGTGTTGGTGATGATGACGATGCTACAAGCTAGCAGTTCGTATGAGGTGGCGAAGTGAGAGGAGAGGAGAATTACATGTAAGCTGCTTTGTTCTCCGTACAGTACGTGTTATGTGCAGCATGTACATAGTAAGCGAGATGGCGGCAAACAGGAGGGACTTTCTACACACAGCAAACACACTCGCACAAAGGACATGCATTCAATGCTCGTTAGTTTAAAGACAATGCATAAGCGCAAGCAATACAAAGAACATCCAATAGCTTCATCCTTCATGCACGCAGTCCAGGTTGATGGAATCAATGAAATGAGTAAGCGTTCGCCCGGCTATTTCTCCGTGCCACGTTTTGCCGTTGCGTTTCTGGCGGGAGCGCTGGAGATTGGCGGGGTAGCACCTAGCAGGGTCCCGCACAGGGGACCTCTTGGAACTTTGGGGGGAGAGCTACAGGCATATAGCCGCCGTGTTTTAGCGCCGCAAGCCCCTAAAAGCACGGGGCTAGTTGCCTGACCAACTCCAACAAGCTGCGCCTCGCTCGCCCTACCGAAAGCCCAATAGGGACAAAGCCGCGCATTCTCTCTCTCTTTAACCCCCCAATGTCACAAGTCTGACTTCCCCACGTCCGGGTCAAGAGAAACTGCAACACGATACGCAGGGCTTTTGCGTCCTTTTTTGAAGCATTGGCCTTGAGCAGTAGCAACAAGTAGCAAGCAGCAGGCATCCTCGGCTTTTATATGAGCTGCGACCTTGTTCAACACCGTCAGTGGCTTCTCCCGTCATGGCCGAGGTGGACGTGCCCACCTTTGGCGCAGAGCTAAAGGTGCGTCTGAGTTGCGTGGCGATGGCTGTTCTGTGAGCGATGATTTTGGTGATGAAAGAGAAGAGAAGGGAGAAGAACAAGAAGAAGAAGAAGAAGAAAGAGGAGAAGAGAGAAGAAATACAAGAAGCAGAGACAGAGGCCTAAACAGGGCTTTCGAGATCCCTTGCGTGCGCGGCGCTGACAAACTCTCAGGATGGCTTCAAGGCGGCCAACGCCTGGGTCAACAATGGCATTACCTGGCTCGACGAGATCCAGCAGTTCTACCGCGATCGCGCCGCCATCGAAAAGGAGTACAGCGCAAAGCTCGATGCGCTGGCCAAGAAGTACTTTGAGAAGAAGAATAGGAAGATCTCTCAGCTGAGCGTTGGCGACACCCCGACCCTGACCCCCGGCTCGCTGGAGAGGTAAGGCCCAACATTCCGACAAAGAAATGAGACGCTGTAGATATGCGCGGCGTTGGTGTATCGCATCAGGAGAGACTGCTATTCAAGACATTGTGATGCTGACAGTGCTTCTCTCTATAGCGCTTCCTTGACGACCTGGTCCACGCAGCTTACGACGCTCGAATCTCGCGCCTCCGAACACGATCGCTATGCGAACAACCTCCTATCCCAAGTAGCCGAGCCCCTTAAATTCTACAATAACCGCTTCGACGACTTGCGCAAGCGCCATGCCGACTATGCCGACAAGCTCGAAGCCAGCCGCGACGCCGTCTATGCCGATTTGCGCAAAATAAAGACAAAGTACGACGGAACATGCCAAGAGCTCGAGAGCAAGCGCAAGAAGACCGAGTCGCACTACGACAAGGCCAAGGCTCAAAACGCCTACCAGCAGCAGCTTTTCGACATGAACAACGCCAAGAACACCTACCTCATCGCCATTAACGTTGCCAACAAGCAAAAGGAAAAATACTACCACGAATATGTCCCCGAAGTCATGGATAGCTTGCAGGACTTGAGCGAGTTCAAGACGCTCAAGCTCAACTTTCTGTGGGATGTGGCGACTCGTCTGGAAAGCACCATGCTTCAACAGAGCAACGGCATGATCGAGCACCAAGGCAAGGAGATCCAGAGGAATCTGCCTCACTTGGACTCCATGATGTACATGCGCCACAACATGGGCGCCTTCCAAGAACCGGCTGACAAGGCCTTCGAACCCAGCCCCGTCTGGCACGACGACGATCTCATGATTGTGGACGAGACGGCCAAGATCTACCTACGAAACGTACTAACCAAGTCCAAGGGCCAGCTGGGGGAACTCCGGAGAGAGGTTGACAAGAAGCGCAAAGAGGTGGAATCTATGAAGCGGGTTAAGGAACGAGTTCGGGAAGGAAAGGAAAAGAAGGACGAAGTCGAAGTTATCCGCACGCTGTTCGCCATGCAAGAGGACCTAATTGCCGTGGACCAGAAGAGGCTCACGGCTGAAGTCGAAACCACTACCATCACAACCGCGGTTGGTGATGTTACGCTGGGGGCAAAGAACCATAACTTTAAAAGCCAGACTTTCAAGATACCGACCAACTGCGACTTGTGCGGTGATCGCATTTGGGGCTTGAGCGCCAAGGGATTCGACTGTCGAGACTGTGGCTACACGTGTCACAGCAAATGCGAGATGAAGGTACCTGCGGATTGTCCTGGCGAGCAGAACAAGGAGGAGCGAAAGAAGCTCAAGGCTGAGCGCCAGGCCGCCACTAACAAGCACCTCACTCCCGACCCGGCGTCCATGTCAAACGAGAGCCTGGCTCGATCCAATACCATGAACTCGCTGAGCTCACAGTCAGCGCGACAGTCTGTCATCTCCGGGCCACAAACTCCGTCAGAGGACGCACCCTCTGAAATTGCCCCCAAGGCCACCGCACCTGTTGCGGCCGTAAAGACTACCGCCGCAGCTCCCGTAAAGAGGAACAGAGTAATAGCACCCCCTCCCACGGCGTATGTCTCGGCTCCACCAGCGGGTAGCACCAATGGCAATGCGGAAAGAGAAGAAAAGAAGGGCAAGGTGCTGTACCAGTTCGATGCCGGTGGTGACGGAGAGCTGTCGGTAGCGGAGGGCAAGGAGGTGGTGATATTGGAGCCCGATGGTAAGTTGGATGAACCCCCCTTTCTTAAATGCCCTTGGATTCTCATATAAGTTTGCAGACGGCTCCGGTTGGATCAAGGTCCGTGATGGTTACAAGGAAGGCCTCGTACCGGCAACATATCTAGACCTCAACATTACGCCGTCGACGTCGTCGGCATCCGCTCGCCCATCCTCTACTTACTCCACATCGACAACGTCATCGCTGGCACTCAGCGCCGCGTCACGGAAGAAGGGCCCCGCGGTAGCGCCCAAGAGAGGCGCCAAGAAGCTGCAGTATGTGGAAGCTCTGTACGACTACACCGCGCAGAGCGACGCCGAACATTCCATGACTGAGGGCGAGCGCTTTGTGTTAGTCAAGGAGGATTCCGGGGATGGCTGGGCGGAGGTCGAAAAGGCTGGTGTGACGGCCAGTGTGCCTGCTAATTATATCCAGGCTGTGTAGGGGAGACAGCGTTTGGTGAGATGGTAGGTGGCGCTCTGGTTTCTCTTCGAATATAAAGAAGAGTAAGAGTAAGAGAGGGGATGTTTCTGGTACGAGACTGAAAGAAGACTGAAACTTTGGTTTGTCGTTAGAGGAGATGGAAACACTCAGGGGGGCATCGAACCAAACAAAAAGTAATAGGAGGCGAGCCCATGCTAACAAGAGAGAGAGCGTGTGTATATATATAGATGATTACGATGGCAGGGCTTTGGATGACTCAAATGTTTTCTGTTTTTCCTTTTGACGGACGTTTTTTTTATGTTTTTTTTTTTTTTCACTTCCGCTTTGCATTGCATTGGGAGGAGTATGGCAGGCAAGGGAGGCAAAGAAATTGTGTACATATCCGTATATTATTTACACGAAGCGTTGCGAGCCCGTCATGCTACTTGCTGGATCAGTTCTTGCTTCTTCGTTGATATCTGTAGGGAGCGGGATTTCGTATCGAAAGTGGTTATCATCAAATACTCAGAAGCACAGCATAAATATGAGAGTGAAATTGTGTCTTGATTTTTTTTAGACCGTTTCAACAGCCGTTATATCTTTATTTTAGTACAAGTGGTTCCATTCCCCATATCACGTAGAGGTAGAGGCGAGTTCGTCTAGAGTACAAAAAAGAGAAAGATAGGTGGAATAGGAGAGAACAGAGTGTAAAAGAAAAGGGGAAAGAAAAAAGCAACGCTTGCGAGAAGGAAATAAAAAAAAAAATCATACACAGGATGAATCTCATGCAATCTCCAGATCCACCCCCAAAACAACCTTGTATATATATATAAGTCATTTCCATAGCCTACCCTCCGTCCGGGGAAAAAAAAAAAACTGCAAAACAGCCAGCCCCATCCCCTTTAACCAGTCTTTCATATGCAGTTGAGCGTTAAAAACCTAGGATATCATGCATGCCGTATTTGCTCCCGTACCACCTGCCCATGATTACCCCGCGAAACGCCATGGGAAAAAGAAATAATAATTGTGTATCCCTCAGAGCCACCTCTTCCAAACATAGATAAGATAAAATGACAAGGGCTGAAAGTAAAAAATAAACACAAAGGGGAGATGAACCGAGAATCAGAAGCTCCTAATATGCGTTCACCATATTGGTGATAGTTGATCTTTTGATCACCCCAAGGCGCAAAATAAGGAGGGGGTGGAAGGAAGCGCTTATAAAGGGGGGAAATAGAGGGGAAACAAGTCTATGGATTGTATAATTTTGTCTTTGTGAGGGAGATGGTATGTGTATATAGAAATAAGAGGACGGTATTTTGGAGGTAAATAGAAGAGCGGGGAGTGTGTGTGCAAAGTAGCAATTTTCATAGTCGCTCAAGACGGCATACCGCAATCTGGCGTCTCATCCATGTCGGGGAAGCTAAGCTCAGCAGGCAGTGGTTCCTAGATCATCTGTGCTGTTGGGGCTCCAAGCCCATGAGGATTGAGGCTGTGACGTAAGGCGTCTTGCAGCTCTGCAATCTGTGCCATCATGGCCAGAGAGTGCTGTGATTGTTGATCCATCTCGGACTTGAGCTTTTCGTTTTCCTCTCGCACCCTCTTGATTTCATCCCGAAGATCGGACAGTTCGTCTATGCCCTGACTGCTCAGACGACGTTTGCGCTTAGACCCGGATTTCTCGCTCTCGTCGTCCTCTGGTGAGGCAACAATTTCGATTGGAGATGCAGAGGTGTCCATGTTGGTATGTACTCGTCGAAGATGCTCGTTAAGATTCTCCTGCCGAGAAAAGCCCTTGCCAGTATGTCGCTTGCAGTTGGGGTGTGGGCAGTTGACGGTGTTCTTGGGACCACCGTGCTTCCCATGAACTTCTCGCTCATGTCGGAGAAGGCCGCCGGAATATGTAAAGCCTGGTAGGTTTTCGCAACCTTCGGCCGGGCAGCGGTAAGGACGTTCGTGCTTGTCCATATGTTTGCTGTGAAAGTGTTGGTTTGATGCACAAGATCGAGGGACTAGGGAGATGACTTACTTCCATTCGCACTTGCGAGAGAATGCTCGAATATCCTCCTTGCAGTCATCTAGTGGGCAGTGAAACTTGCCATCTGACTTCTTGTGGACCTCACGTTCGGGCTTGGGAATTTGTTTTAGCCGCGATGACGGAGAAGATATGTCACTTCGTGGAGGCTCCTTGTTTTCCGGTATGGGATCTGGTAGCGGCGGCGCATGTAGCGCAACTTGAAGAGGTGATGAGAATTCTGGTGCACCTAGGTCGAGCTGGGACGCTTCCGGAACAACGGCATCGTCGTCTGCTAGAATATCTCTTTCGTCTCCAATGACACCTCTGTCGTCCGGTAGCAGAGAGGCTTCTGCGGTATAATGGCTGAGGTGCTCGGCAACATCGGAGTCGGTATAACGCTGCTCGGCAACGTGGTCGTGCTCGTCGCCTATGGGGGGATATGCGCCCTCATGGATAAAGGACCGAGGCTCGTATGCGACGCTCATGGTGGCCTGCAAGTCTGAGATGTACCCCAGGCGCAGTTTTGGGTGCTGGCGGCACAAGCCTTTAAGCTGTGCGATGCGCCGGAGCGATGATGAGGTCGAGGGTGGCGCTGCAGTCGAGATGGAAGCAGTCACTGCCCTCGGAGTGCGGCCTCTGGAGCAAAGAGCGGCGGCTGGCCGTTGGCTTGTGATTCCCACGGCCTGTGACGAATTGCTGGGCCGGCTATCGATGCTTGGATTAGTTCGAGGTCGCGCAGAGCGGGATGATGGCCTGAAAATTCTGGTATGAATGTTTTCGACAAGGTTCTCGTCAGCTCCGCTTCCTGACCAGATCATTAGTGGATTAGTCAGGTGAAAATCACGTGATGTGGCGAGGTGCTGGCGTGGCTGATTTGGTGGCTGTGCCGCGTTTGTGCGTGTACCAGGTTGTGCGCGGACTCCGGGAGGGAACTTGTTCTCGTATGAGTTCGCATGTGCTGCGTAATAATGCTCCGAGTCCTTGTCCTTGTGGGAAAAGCTGCTATTCCTTCAATGTCTTGTGAAATCCAAACGCGCTCTTCCGGGCCCTTAATATGTCCGAGAAGTTCTAGGCAGAACCTCCTCTCTGAGGCGTGACTCGACCCGGATCAAAGAGTGCCAACCCACCACCACTAGACGCATGCCTATCGAATCGATCTCCGTGACTCATTACCGTAGGTGTATTATCTCGTAAAGGTTCATGACACACTCCACCTTGGCACGTGGGGCAAACTACAACGCAAAGCTGCGCCTCCGGTTGTGGTATAAGACAAAGACGTAACGGCGTAAGAGCTGTGATGTGCGGTTTGCCAGGCGGCAGCCGAGGCGCTGCTCACTCGAGCATAGCACGTCTGTGAACCTTGTAGCTTGCTGGGAGCTAGGCACAGCTCCCCGACCGGTGAGAGACCAATCTGATGGGAGGGCTGAATGCTTGCCTAGAGTAGCTTAAGGTAACCAGGTAACCAGGTAACCATTCATCTCGCATCGCCTTGCGCATCTCATAGGACCTCAAGGGTGAAACGTAGCCGGCGTCTTTCTTTGGCTAGCCTGTCGACGCGCTAGGCTGAGAGATGGAAGAAGCTGTCGCCAACGAATATTCAGCTTCACGGTGGCTGTCGCCCTAAGCCATAAGACGAAGCTGGTGGGTGGCTGTCAAAAGAGCTGTTGGAGCCGAGGATCACCAAGGCTTATGCAGGACTTTGTGGGTGCCTCTGACGTCCCATGTGCCCCTGGCATGGCCATGTTTACCCGTGATGGAAGGGGTGGCATCCTACTAAGCGGCGGGCGATACCTATTTCTGCACTTTTGATAGCGGTCGTGCTTGACTCAATCCATGTCGTACCGAACAGCCTTGAGAGGAAGTGTACGTGATGAGAAATCCAATGAGGGCTGCTGAGAGAGCAATGTGGTGATGTGCTCAGTCCTTTGAATGAGACGACACCCCCGCCTCCCATCTCATGATCACTTGATGCACGAGAAGGAGGTTGTCGGCGATCCGTAAATAGCTCTGTGTCCGCGTAAGGATGGCGGATTTCCGCGTTGGCTGCCAACAGGTTGAGAGATTCGCACCAGAAGACGTCTTGCGCATGACCTAGGGGGCTTGAGGGAGGACTTGTGTCATGGAGGTCGCCTCATGGACGAGGAGGAGCATCCTAGGCCAATTAATCCAGATGGCGACGTCGAAAGTCCAGCAGGGGACCCAGGCAAACATGGTTGTGCGATGAGCTGGAGAAACATTTGGCCTGAACCTTGGCCTTAGGCGGGACGATTTAGAGCATTTTATGTGGAAGAGCAGAGCAGAGCCGCAAGAGTGGGAGGGAATAATGAGGCTGTTGAAGCGGGGACTTGAACATCAGGCATTGACGCAGGCGAACCAAAGCACGAGGCTGGCAGGGCAGATGTTGGAGATTGGCGTCAACGCCTGGCATCCTCAGGCAGACAATATGCAGGTTGCATGCGGTGGTGGGAGCTGCGACAGTGATGCAATGCGGTTTACGTGCAAGATTGTCGACAAGCATCGAGTGCCAGGATGAACACTGGGATGTTAAAAAGAATGAGAAACTGAGCCACGACCAAAGTGTTTCCAACCGAATTGTTGAAGCAAAATCCAACGACGGCTGTTGTTGTGGTTACTACGGTCAAGCAAGCACGGCTCGGTACATGCAGATCAGCGTTGCATGCACGGAGCCACGGGTATCTCACCGAACACATTTAGGCACCAGTGGCATATTACAGGTTGATTCCTTGCAGAGCCAATGAACCAGGACACCCGAATATCTACATGTAGGCACCTTATGTAATGCATGAAGCAGAGCATTAAGAGAGTGATGTTAATCGGCCCTTCGAATACTCCATCTGCTCACCGAAAATTACAGACTTCCAATGCTTCTCACATACTAATAAATGGAGAGAGCTGTTAGTGCGAGGACCCGCCTTGACAATCTCAAATCCACAGCGAGATCCGACTGCCGAAGCAAAGGAAGCTCCCGTTGGAGCTATGGCAAAAGTACCTCGAGGTAGCAGTAGCTCATGCGCAGTATCTCGGCAATCTGCAGTTTGTTAGCATTGTAGATCTACTGAATACGGGATATTCAGATTTAAAGACTGGGATGGATAACAAGAATCCTCGTTAACAGGCAATTGTTGAGAAAAGTTCAGTTCCAATGCTTTCCATATTACATGATAGTTTCTGTCTTATCGCAATCCGGTCTCGGCCCTTGCATCTGTTGAGCTTAGCCCTCGGCTACCGAGGCGTTAAAAGTTGGTGGTTAATCGCGGCAGACTGAATCACACAATCAACCTTAAAAAAGATTCTCCCCCACTTTCTCGCTGCTCTTTCCCTCCATTTTCTCTCTCATCAAGACGCTTGATACTATCAGAATCTGGGCTTGTGCTCTGAATTTCACATAATCTCATAGTAGAGTGTTTTTATCCCTACGTCCTTTACAGTCGTGCCGGTCGGAATTGCCCTCATCATACGCTTGAAGTGCGCGCTCTCTCAAGATGGCGTCGCAATCAGCATCGCCTCCTGGCGATTCCAAGCAAGCAACGATGAGCGAAAGCACTGTTCGCTCTCCTTCTGTATCATCTCGCAGTCCTGAAGGCGAGGAAGAGGGCGGTATCCGACCGGCCGACTACGACACAGAAACGGTGGAGAGAGTCTACAAGTATGTACTCGGCATAGTTGGCCATAAAGATGTGGACATGATTTAGCTAACTCTCCATTTCTACTAGGAAAATTGATCTCAGAATTATTCCACGTCAGTACTAGATTTTACTCTTCAGATTCTTCTTTTCTAGCAGCATGGCCGCCTAAAAAGAGCTCCAACTAACTAAACCTTAGCTTTCTGGATCCTGTACTTTCTTTGCTCGGCAATTCGCTCCAACATTGGTATTGCTCAGACGATGAATCGTGACAAGGGCCATGACTTGGAAACTGTTCTTGGGCTCACCCCAAAAGACGTCTCTACTGCCCTCGCTCTCTTCTATGTGTCCTACGTCATCTTTGACTTTCCATCAAACCTCATCATGAGCAAGCTCAGCCCTCGAGTATGGATGGCTAGAATCGTCTTTGCCACCGGAGTTGTTGGTTCTTGCTTTGCAGCTGTCCAATCTCCTTGGAGCCTCAAATTTCTACGCTTCCTCTTGGGCTTGGTCATTGCTGGTATGTGGCCGGGCATGGCTTTTTACCTCACACTGTTCTATCCGCCGTCTCGAACAGCCAAGCGAATTGGCATGTACTTTACTGCCTCTCAAGTGTCCGCTGCTGTCGTTGGCCTTGTATCAGCTGGATTCCAGTTGATGGACGGTGACAGAGGCTTGGTTGGCTTTAGGTGGATGTTTCTCGTATATGGACTTGTTGCTGTTGTCCTGAGCTTTGCGCTACTGTGGTGGCTTCCTGACCGACCCCTAGCACCAGGACAAGAGAGAAAGCGCACTGGTCTTTTTAAGTGGCTTCCAGCTACCCCTGAAGTTCTCACCGGCGAAGATGCTAAAGTCCACTACTCTGAGTTGAAGCGTGTCTACCATGCTCGTCCGTGGGGCCTGAGAGATCTTGGTCTTGTGTTGCTTGATTGGAGGCTGTGGCCTTTGTGTCTGATGTACTTTGGAGTTGTCGGAGTCGGAATAGGCACTCAGCTCTACGGTTCAGTCATCATTGCTGCAATCCAGCCAGAGGCGAGTGACATAGTGGTCAGCTTGCTTTTTGCTCCTATCTGGATTGTGAGTCTTCCCTTCCTTTGGTCTCGTAAAGTCAAGATTCTAACTGGGCATACTACAGATGGACCTCATTGCCATTCTCCTGGTGACACCTGTTTCCGATCGCTTTCATCGCTTGAGGCCATTCTTCTTTTCTGCAGCCGTCTGCATCCAGATTGCGGGCTTACTGACGACCACTTTTGCTCTCGAAAATGGCTGGGCCCGGTACGGTGGTCTTTTGATGGTGGGCTTTGGTCTTGGACCGACTGTCCCCATTTGCATGACGTGGGCCTCGGAAATCTTTCAGCGCCGACATGGTGAAGTTGGTGTGGCAGCTGCCACAGCTCTGGTATCCGGTCTTGGAAACTTGGGTAGTGTCACTACCACATACGCCCTGTACTCTGGCTGGCCAGAGGATTCTAAGCCGGGGCCTCACCAGTTCCGTAAGAGCAACCTTACAATGATCGGAATTCTCTGCCTCAGCATTCTTAGCTCCGTGGTCATGTTGGTATTGCTCAAGGTCGTCGGCAATCCTCCGAGCTCCAAGCTCCACGACAACGACTCAGCCAGCGACTTTGAGGATGGCGCAGCAAGACGGGAGGCCACGCAACGTGGATTCGGGAAATTCTCTCGACGTTCCCAACACCAAGAGATCTAAATTCTCGCCTGTGAGGCGTCTCAATTGAGGCAGCATCACCAGCCACGACTTGGCCTTCAACAACAGCTTGGCAATGACGTCTTCACAGCCCACTCTTTCATTCACAAAAGGGCAATTCAACCTGTCATTC